AAAAGTCAAAAGAATTTGTTCAGAAGGTGGAGGAAAAAAGCATTGACCTCATTCAGAAATGGGAGGAGAAGTCTCGAGAATTCATTGGAAGTTTCCTGGAAATGTTTGGTCCAGAAGGAACGCTGAAACATATGCTGAAAGAGGGAAAAGGTCGGATGCTGCAGGCCATCAGTCCAAAGCAGAGTCCCAGCAGCAGCCCTACTCGGGAACGCTCTCCCTCCCCCTCTTTCCGATGGCCCTTCTCTGGCAAGACTTCCCCACCCTCCTCCCCAGCAAATCTCTCCAGGCACAAGGCTGCAGCTTATGATATCAGTGAGGATGAAGAAGACTAACTTTTCATCCCTCCTTTCCTGTCCCCTCCCTCTGTCTCATCACCTTCAGAAGCTCTCTGTTGAATTCCAAATTGTGATCCCAACACTAAACCTAAGAACAACTACAAAGGAAAAGAATTGGAGCAAGAGGACCTAGAAATGGGGGAACCGAAACAGCCTATCCTCCAAGAGATACCAATCACCCACACCAAGAAGGAGACTGACTATAGCTTAGAAGCCTGTTCTGCATCCATCTGCCCTCCCCAAGGACTTTGTTTTACTATTATGTTCATGTGATCTTGACAGGGAAATTGTCATTTTTATTACTTTTTTAAAAATTAGTCTTTCAAATATAGTATGTAGAACTAATTTTTTGCCCCTGAGGAGTGGGCAGAAGAAGGAAGTGGCGTAACACGCAGAGGCCTTTTCTTCCTGATACACTGTAGTATTTGCCTTCTGTTCTAAAGCAAAGTGGATTACCAAGTTGTTCACGTGATGAGCCATGCTGGTGGGTAATTTGGGGGGAAATATCATAAATTTGATTTGCTTTAGAAAAGCTAAAAGCTGAGTTACAGTCACAAATCCCCTAAATTTACTGCTGGCACCTGTGTCAATGTGGCTGTGGGAAGAAGGAGATCTGAGCCTAACTTTTCTTACTCCCTGAGGAGTTACTTGTTGGACCCAATTGGGTCCATGAAGACACTGATGGGGATGGAACCAGACCACATGGCATCAGCTGCAGTTTTTCTGCTGTGTTCATCTTCTCAGAAAATTCTGTTGCCCAATTATTTGGGAGCTTGTGAATCTTTTTCCTATAATCTACCTTTAAAGGAAGGAACACTTTTAGGGTTACTGTGATGAGGAGAGGAATGGGACAATACTCAATCCTATACAAAGTCAGTTTAGATTCATTTCCTGCTGAGAGTAAGTCCCTGGCCCTTCTATTCCTATTTCAGTGCAATTACCTAGCTTTTTACAAAGGAGACTTTGTAATGTCTTCAGTTTGAACTTGATGTTAATCCATGTTACTCATAGCCATACTGAACTTAGAGAGATTTGCACAGAACCTAGAGGCAAAAGCATAAGGAAACACCTTCCTTTCTAAAGAAACAGCCTTACCTTAACCTCTGCTCTGCTTAAGAATATTCTTAACTGGAACCAGTGCTCCATGGGGTGTTTCTTTTCCTATGAAAGCTGCAACTGGCAGGGATTTCCCTTCACTGCTCCTCCAACAAGCCACAAAGCATGGGCTCACATGACAAGAGTATGGTAGGTTTCTCTCTCTTTCCCACGTGTGCCTTGTGATTATGGTCCCACCTCCTCTGTTAGGTTGTCCAGGGGGATTCAGCACTTAAATTTCAAATCAAAGAATGCTGACACTTAAGCATGATCTAATTTTTAAATCCCATCCTATCTCCTCAGCTACATGACCTAGCAGATCATCAACCATCAGTAATCCTGTAGCTAAAATCAGGACAACTGCTTATGTCCCCGTATCAACTCATACATACCCCTTGTGGGGGTGGAGTTTTAGTGTTTTCATCTAAGAAAACCACATTTTCCCTTTTCTTGCCTCTCTGCCAGGACTGTGAGCATGTCATAGTTCCTGTCCTAAACATTTTCTGATAAAACCTGCTCTTCTTCCTGAGGGTGAGAGGCTAGAATCACTGCCTGCCTGTACAGCAGGACTACCTAGATTCTTGAAACTCAGATCACCCAGAGAGGCAGAGCATGGCAGAGAAGACGAACGAAGAGGGGGAAGCCTCTTGTCCTGATGGCCCATGAAAACTACATTCTGACTCTTCTCATGAAGAGCTATTTTTACTGGTTCACATAAGCTTTAGCTTGGAATCCTTTCTTTGTAACAGTTGAAGTTAGTGTTTTCCCATATTACTCAGCTTTGTATGGTCTCATATTTTAAGTTTTCTGCCATAGTCTTCCCTCTTTGAGCATTCTGCGTATTTCTGTCTGATTCTCGCTGGCATAGAAAGGTGATGAAGTCACTGGTAAAGCTTACCTACTTGTTCCCTCAAAATGCACATCACTCAAGTGTATTTGTATGGACAGGAAGATACTCAGAATGTGGTTTTCCTCTGTAGTCACTCCTCCTAAATATATTTTCTGGGTCCCAAATGTTTGAGCCATCTCCTCTGCTTTCAGTGGGCTGTTTTAGCACGCCCTGTGCTTGGGGTAGGACCCGTAGGCTGACAGGGTCTGTGAGACTGCTAGAGCAGTCTGCCAGCATATGCACATGTTCTTGGGAGACTCTCTCACCCCTTTTAGTGAGATTCTACTGCCTCAGTCTCCCAACACTAGTATATTTTCAAATAATTTTGACGGAAAGCAAAAACGTTTATGATGTGGCATGTGAGATACTTTGGAGTAAATGTATTAATAATCTTAGGTGCTGGACAAGGGTGAGTGGATGGAGAAGCTGTTAAGAATGATGCATTATTTGATCATTTGTGCCTAATTGAATGAAGTTAGAGCTCTGTACACTACAACTATGCCCATGGTCTGTAAATCTTCAATTATTAATATGTTTGAGGCTATGGAGCTGTTTCCCTGAATCCCACACAAGAGAGCAGTCAACCTGCATGGGCCAAATGTGGCACCTGTGGGAGAACCTTAAAAGTTGCTTGACTTTAGAGCCTCTGTCTGTAAGACAGAAGGAGACTGAAGACAGAAGAAGCCCTATAGCTAGTACTGAGGAGGTGCCAGTTCAGCAGTTACCTTAAGGTGGGCTGGGCAGGAAGTTTGCTATTTTCATACTCTAGACTCAGGAGCACTGAAGAATGGAGGTTGAACATTTAGAGGAATAGAAATGGATCACTTGAACTGCTGTAGCTGCTTCTGATAACTAGAGCCAAAGACCATTATTTTGTGGAGACTTGGGTAAGAAGGTTAGGGATGTGAAAAAGTTGAAAATCCTGAAGAGGAGAAAAAATGGAAGGGAGATTGAGAAAACCTTTGACCCTTGTTGATTGCAGAGACTTCTTAGGCTGTACCTGAGTGATACTTATTTTACTTGTGGCCACACAGCTGGTCAGGCATGTTCTTCTCAGTGCTTTTTTACTTCCTTTCTGGATTGTCTTGATTTGTGCATAGCTTATTTTCTGGAGCTCATTGCCTTTTTAATCCTGTTCCAGATTGCTTATCCAAAATCTTTCCAAATCAATTCTATTTTGTTGCTTTTTTTTAATTCCCTAAAAGCCATAGCTTCTAGATTTTCTGTCAGCATATACTCTCACCAGAAGTTGAATCAATACAGGTAAGACAAAAAAGCTCCCTTAACAATGTTTTTAACTAATGGTATTTTTTTTAAGCTTACCAATATAAGTATTTTTAAAGGTTATATTTTTCAAAGTCATGACAATGATTGTTATTGTTTTCTCTCATAAGTAGATTGTCATGGGATAAAGAGTGGTCCCTATCTTCTATTTTTCCAAATAAATAAGCAGAGCATGTTCTTGGGATTATATTATTAAATGTTAACTTTCTTAAAAAGTTAGAAGAAGATTTTCTGTCTGCCAAAGTTTTTAATATGTTAGTGCTGGGATTTGGGTAGAAAACAAAAGTGCCAGGTTTAACATTATGATGACTCAAGTTGTGTTCCTTTAGGTTTGAAGTGGGCCTCCCCACCCTTCTTTGGGAGGCACTAAATGTTATAAACACAGAAACATGATTGTTTGGGTTGTTTGTATTGAGGATCTTGAAAAGAAAAAAGAGTCTTGGAAATAACTGCTGGCCTTGGCATGAATGTTCACCCCATTACCAATGTGAGTCCACAGGGAAGTTTTCCTCAATTGGGGTTCAGTCTCTCATTTTCCTGTCTGAGTATTATTAATTTGTTCAGGGTTATTTTGGCTTTTGTCATTTAGCCAAATAAAGGCAATGTGGCTTTACCTAATGTTCCATTTCCTGTGTGTTTGACCTGGTACACGTGTATGGTACATTTTATGCAGTTGGTACTTGTACTCTCAATTCCTTTGCATTTGTATACTAATTTCTCTTCTCAAAGTCAAGCTCTATGATCATATTATCAGGGGATTCCTTTTGTAGTTTGGCACAAAAGACTGAAAGAGCCATTATCCCACAAGGGGAGATTGATGGGCTTAGTGTCATTAGTAATTCCATATAGTCATTCCATCTGTTCTCTAGAAGCCTGGCTTTTTCAAGACTTTTGGGCTGGTGCTATATTACCAAGTTCTACTCCTATTCTTCTTTTTTTTTTTTTGAGACAGAATCCTGCTTTGTTGCACAGGCTAGAGTGAGTGATGTGGTGTCAGCCTAGCTCACAGCAACCTCAATCTCCTGGGCTCAAGCGATCCTACTGCCTCAGCCTCCCAAGTAGCTGGGACTACAGGCATGCGCCACCATGCCCAGCTAATTTTCTCTATATATATTAGTTGGCCAATTAATTTCTTTCTATTTATAGTAGAGATGGGGTCTCGCTCTTGCTCAGGCTGGTCTCGAACTCCTGACCTTGAGCAATCCACCCGCCTCAGCCTCCCAGAGTGCTAGGATTACAGGAGTGAGCCACTGCTCCCAGCCTACTCCTATTCTTATACCAGACACATTACTATATACTCTTCCCCTTTTCATCTGCCTTGGGAGAGCTCAGAGTGACCTTTCAATATACAAGCTTTAAGAACTAACAGTGGCACCTACAGAGGCGATTGTGCCCAGTTACAGAGTTTCAGACTTCATCTTGTTTATTTATTACAAAACTTAAAACACCTTCCCTGGGCAAGATCCAAAACAATTTCATCCTATTGTATAGTTCACCTTCATCTTTATAGTCAAATGTAATCTGACAGCTTGTGCTGATAATGGGAATCCTTCCTCATTTGGTCAAGGTCAAAGGAACAGTAAAGGAATCTTGTGCTGCTCTTCTAATAAGTACAGCATCTCTTTCATTGTCCAAGCCATTCACCTTAGGCTTTGATGTTTAAGTCCGGGTCTGGAGAAGGGAAAGTTTCATACCCAACCTTGTGGTCTTCCCTTCGGTAGTACATTCGTGTCAGCACAGTCATCAGGAAAGTCTCCAGTATGAGGAGGTGGCAATTCATTACTGCAGTGTAGGGTGAAATATAATGTAGGTTATGCTATGTTATAGAGGTGGAATGCCATTAGCAGCCCTGACATATGAGTTGAGCAACACTTTCTCCAATTTATCCCCAAACCAGGACTTAGAAATACTAAATTGTCATAAATATCAGGTTAATAGAGCCAGAACCAGCACTTGGTTCTCTACCTTCTGTGATCTGAGGCTAGCATTAAAGCCCATTTCTTATGTGTGTTTAATTAGCATGGCCTTCTGTTTCTTAACCCTACCCACTCCTCTCCCAGGAGCTGAAGATTGAACCATGGCTTCTTGGGTTGCTGGGCTGACTCAAGCTTGTAGAGTTGCAGTTCTCCTCTGTGTGATCAGAGAGACCATAGTCTCCTTAAAGCTTCTGCTGGGATTTCTTGAAGATCCCTTTCTGAATATTCTGAGCAGAAGTCAGGGTGGTCTAACTGCAGTTCTGAAGCCCTCTCTTTCCTGACTCTCCCCTGTCTCATCCATTCCACAATAGGGTAGGAGCTCTTATATGCTCACCTTGAGACCTGATTTTAGAAGAAAAGGGAGGTGAACAAGCAATCTGCCCGCCATTGGCCAAGATTGAGAAAATGGAGGGCTGCAGGGCAGTCAGGACGACGAGCACCTGCAGAACAGAAAAGAGGTGAGGCTGGGTTGGGACCTGCCGTCCATAGCACTGAGGCCAGCTGGCCCACTGCTGGGCCTTGTCCTTCCACTGTGCAGATGCTGCCCACCGGTAGAGCTGTGCTGTTACAGAGGGTTGAGACTCAGACTTGGTTAAAATTTGTGGAGTTTTAATCTTTATGCAAATTACAATCTCATCTTCTACTCAACATTTTATTAGAGTTGCTAACAAGAAACAAGACCTGATTAAGGGGTTAATTTTTATTTCCCTATCTCAGCCATGGCTACTGATGAACACTTGATGGATGAAAATGGTGGATGATTAGAGAAGAATAATTCAATCTAACTCAAGTACCTGAGATCCTTGCTCCTAGAATAATGGACAATTTATCATTAAAGTTCTCTTTGACAACTCTCTGCCATGCCTGACACTGTGCGGAGAGGGTAAAGGGGAATTAGTGTTTAATAGATACAGAGTTTCAGTTTTACAAAATGAAAAAAGTTCCGAAGATGGATAGTGGCGATGGTTGTACAACAGTGTGGCTGTACTTAATACCATGGAACTGTATGCTTAAAAATCTTTTAAGAGGGTAAATTTTATGCATATTTTGCTACAATAAAGAAAGAAAGAAGGAAGAGGAGAAGATCTCTGTGCAGAGGTTCCAGAAGCACCATTTATCTTAGTATGGCCCTCCCTGAGTACATTTTTCTGAAGCATCAACCTCTTCAAGGCAGACTTGGCTTGTCCAGCCTTCCCCACAATAACCATGGGCAGGCTTGGCAATAGGGCTCTTATCTTTTTGTCTGACCCCAAGTGCTTCTGGGACCCAGATCCTTTCTATCCCTTACTCCCTGGCTTCATTTCAGGGACTGGCTTCATTTCAGGGACTTCTCTCTTTCTTTTCCCACAGCCCTTTCAATTCTAACTACTGTGTGTTTGGAAATTCACATTTGGGAAGGATCTGCTTAGATCAAATGAGAATGCTTGCAAAATCACTCTCTTAATGATAAAGCAGTCATTATGCCTTGGGAGTAGAGGAGCCCAACAAAGAGACAAAGAATGGAGATTGGGTTAGAAGTCATTATATTTGGTGGAAAAGTCATCTTGGGCTTAGAGAATGCAAAGCATAGAAGGTTGACAAACATGCCTTTGAATTTTCAGAAGAGATGTGAAGATGAAGAGGCAGTGTAATGAGAAGGAACATGGGTTTGAATTCTAGTCCCATCCCTTAGATGCCTTTGAGCAAGCCTCATAACATCTCTAGGTCTCAGTTTCTTCCTTTGTAAAATAGGAATCCCAGGAATAATAATGACTCCTGGGATTATTGTGCATGAAAAGTGCCTAGCACATGGTGTAGGTAGTGAATAGTTGTAGTTATGATGATACTGCTGCTGGTGTTGATGGATTATAGAATTTTAGGAAGTAATAGGTAGAAAAAGGGAAGGAAAAAGCAATGGTAGAAGAATTTAAGAAGGTTTCATAACACACATGTTATAGGTGAATTATGACCCCCAAAAAGATATGTTAAAGTCCTGGCTCTCAGTACCTCAGATATGACCTTATTTAGAAACATGTTGTTGCATATGTAATTAGTTAAGATGAGGTCATAATGTAATAGGGTGGGTCCTCAGTCCAACATGACTGGTGTCATAAAAATAGGAGAAGAGACACAGAGACACAGACACCTGAGGGGAGAACATCATGGGAAACTGGAAGCAGAAATTGTATCAATGCAAATACTGCTCAAAGAATCCCAAGGATTGCTGACGGAAACTGGGAAGAAGCAAGGAAGGAGACTCCTATGCAGGTTTCAGAGGGAGTGTGACCCTGCTGACACCTTGATTTTGTACTTTCAGCCCCCAAAATAGTGAGACAATAAATTTCTGTTAGTTTAAGCTATCTGGTTTGTGGTATTTTGTCATGGCACTCCTGGGAAACTATTACAGCACAGAAAGGCAAAAAGGTGGAAAGAGCAAGGATCATTTTCCAAATCTCATGGGAAACATGAGGCTTAAGAGGAAGATTCCCAGACCCCGCTTTTACCCTTTATTAGCTTCACCTCCCAACCCCAATCATTTCTAGCTCTATTATTAAACATCTTTTCTCTCCCAGGGTATAGTTACCTGGAATAGAGCAAATTTGCCTCCTATGTTCTGCTCACCCAGGTGCAGCTTAGCTTGACGGAAAAGGATGCCCAGGGTCCAGAGGGCGAATAGTGTAGACGCACCAAGGAAAGTGTTAATCCACAGAGCTGCACTCTTCTCAGAAATCTGGTGGCAGACCAGAAAGTAGTCAGTGAGGCAGGCAAGCCCTGTCCTTTTATTTCTCCTCTTCCATGGTGGAAAAAGCAGTAAAAAAGCCCCAGTACCTTGGCTTATTATAGTTTTGTCTCTGCCCACTGGAGTCCCTGAGCCTCTACTTTTCCACTGCCACCCTGTCCCTGGGCCCTATGTCAAAAAGTGCTGGCTCCAGCTATTCCTACTAAGTGAGTCTTGGACTTTGCCGCCCCTTACTCCTGGCTTACATCTGCTGGGTCGTAGATGCCATCAGGAATGAGAAACAAGCCCACCAGGACCAGCGTTATCTTGAAGAAGGCATACTGGAATGGGCCTAACATCAGCAACTGAAGCTTCCTCCTGAGGAGGGAAGAGGGTTAGGAACACAGACCCACAAACCACCCACCCCATGAAGACCTCCTGGCTCCCTCATTAGGCTCCTGGGCTGAGGCTTGGCTGCCATTATAGACACCAAAATGGCTAAATGGATGGGGACACAGAAGCCAGAATGTTGAGAGCATTGGGAAGCTGCCTCACCTCCCACTCACCTCCAGGCCACAATGCTGCTTTTTGAGCAAGAGCTATCAGAGCGTTGGCCTCAACCTCATTTACCACAGTGGGCAGAAGGGGCTAGCAAACAGCCCAAAGTCCAGTTTTCTTTGTGTGGCTAAAGTTTGCAGGAGGCAGTGAGCTTAACCCTTTGCACTCGGATGTCGAGTGTGGATAATGTTGAGTGGGTAATAAGAAAAAAGCAAGGATTGCAAAGGGTTAAGTGATGGACACTTAGGAGTTCTTCCTCGGTCTCCCCTGGGATTGGTGCCCATGTGTGGGTCCTGGCTGTGGGATGCCCACTCTTTTATCATGGTTTTGCCCATTTGAACCTAATTTTAAGAGTCTTGAAGCAGATCTAGAGAGCTAGAAGAGGCTCTTGGGAGCGTGCAGGAAGAGGCTAACCTGTGCCTCAAGGGTGCTCCTTCCTCTCCCACCTTACCTGGTGAGCATGAGCCTTGGGCAACAGAGGCAACAGCAGCAGCAGGGACCTGTGTGGATTATCATCGGGGTGTCCTTCAGTGTCCTCACTACTGCCTCCTTCCCACCAAAGCCCTCCACCATGACCAGCATCAGCAGGTAAAAACATATAGCATAAAACCTGGGGCGGGGAGAGAAGTGGGACTGTGAGCATATGGTGGGGGCCCCAGCTGAGGGGACACCACTTTGCTGCCAAAGAAAAAAGGCTGCAGGGAAAGGTGGGGCTTACTGAGGGGCGATGGTAGGGGCTGGGCATTCTGGATGTGAGATCCAAGAGGAGTGAGAGAGGGCAGGGTCCAGAGGACTGGGGAAGAAGGAAATTGGGGGCTATGGAAATAAAGAGGTGACTGAGGAACGTGCCAAAATAAAGCATTTCCTGAACAGAACCAGAAATTCAAGAGCTCTGGATTAGCACAAATTGGGAAGGACTAGATTCATGATCCACTGGGATTAAAGACACGGACTGTGGAGTCCCAGTGAGGGGGAACAGAAGCAGATCCCAGGGGGATACTCAGTCCAGAGTTGGGGGTGGGCCAGGATACTCACGAGGTTATGGCCATTTCCACGAGCATGAGGGAACGAGGAATCCAGAGACCAAAGCAGCAGAACACAGACACTACCTGCTTGGAGAGGAGCACGAAGCATTTGAGACAAGAAGGGAGACCACACAAACCTTTTGTGGCAAGAGCTCAAGGAAGCAAAACCTATGCATTAGAGTCACCATTCCGTAAAAGTTTCAGCTGGGACTGGGTGCAGTGGCTCACCAGCCACTGTAATACCAGAAAGTGTCATACCAGCACTTTGGGAGGCCGAGGTGGGAGGATCACTTGGGGCCAAGAGTTTGAGACCAGCTTGGGCAACATAGCAAGACCCTGTCACTGCAAACTGTTTAAAAATTAGCAGAATGTGGTGGCACGCACCTGTAGCCCCAGCTTCTCAGGAGGCTGAGGGGGGAAGATCACTTGAGCCCAGAAGTTTGAGGCTGTAGTGAGCTATGATCATGCCACTGCACTCCAGCCTGGGTGACAGAGGAAGACCCCATCTCAAAAAAAGAAAAGTTGCCAGTTGGCAGAACAACTAATTAAATCAAGCAAGCCAAGGACCAAGGCTGTGGGAGTGAGTTTAAAAGGCTACAGCATAAGGGTAGACCTGATATGGCCCTGTGGGGAAAAAATCTTTCCCTCCTATACTCTGAGGAACCACACTGTCTGCCTTTACAGGAAGGATGCTTGCTTTCAACAGCAAAACCGTGGTGGAGTACAGAGTGGGGCCAACGGTGGGCTGAGCAGGTTCTCCAGCTGTCTCTGCAGCCTTTAGGATTGGAACACTTCATCCCTTTGTCTGTTGACCTTCCAAGCATGAGGTCCCAATTGCAAGCGCAGATCAGAGTAAAAACCCCTACCTTGAGGTGGTAGTGGCAGGCAACTGTTTGCTGACATGAATTGCTGAGTTTAGAGGAATTCTCAAAATGGTCCCTGCCTCCTTTCCAGTCCCTCCCAAAGGGAAGCTACAGGGCCTTCCCTCACCGTAGGTGCAGAGCTACTCCAGAGCAGAGTCCTCCTCTTGATGGGGCAGCGGGTGTTCTTGTATAGGTAGACAGCATCTTCCAGGAAGATGACAATTGAACCCAGGACAAGCAAGGTCATGATGCTCGTGAGGGCAATTTCCACAGGGCCCAATGCTAGAGAGAAGGAGAAGGTAGACTCCAGTGAGCTGAAGAGCAGGACTGAGGGGGAGAGGACATGGGCTTCCTCACTTGGATCTAAATTGCCATGCCAGATCTAGAACTATCTGGTCTGGGTTCCCATCCATGCAGAAGAATGACTATTTTTTACACCTAGAGTGTCCAACATGTGACCAAGATTTGTGCATGCATGGGAGCCTAGATCAGATAATTCTAGGTATGTTAATGTCTACCTGAACCAGGGTATAAGACACACCAAACAAGTCTTTATATAATTAGCAAAATTTTTGAATTATGAAGTCGGTCAGCAGGGCCTATTTACTTTTCTACCTCCAGTGCCAGATGTCACATAAGCAGACATGGATATATTAACATTATATTAGGGCTAGGTGAGGTGGCTCATGCCTGTAATCCTAGCACTTTGGAAGGCTGGGTGGGAGGATCGCTTGAGGTCAGGAGTTCAAGACCAGCCTGAGTGACATAATGAGATCCTGTCTCTACAAAAAAATAGAAAACTTAGGTAGGTGTGGTGGCACATGCCTATAGTTCTAGCTACTCAGAAGGTTGAGGCAGGAGGATTGCTTGAGCCAAGGAGTCTGAGATTGCAGTGAGCTATGATCACACCACTACATTCTAGCCTGGGTAAGAGAGTGAGAGCCTGTCTCAAAAAAATTTTTAAAATGTATTTATTGACAAATAAAATTTGTATATATTTATGGTGTACAACATGATATTTTGTTATATGCATACATTGTACAATGTTGAAATCAAGCTAATTGGCATCAATTACCTCATGTTCATATTCATATTCATTTTTTTGTGGTGAGAACATTTAAAATATACTCTCAGCAATTTTCAAGTATACAACACACAGTACATTGTTATTAACCATAGTCACCATGTTGCACAATAGATCTCTTGAACTTATTCCTTCTGTCTAACTGAAATTTTATATCCTGTGACCAACTTCTCCCAAATTCCCCCACCTATGTCTCCAGCTCCTGGTAACCAACATTCTCTCTGCTTCGATAAGAAGCAAAATGCATGGGCAATATATGTAACCTTAACACTTGTACCCCCATAATATGCTAAAATAAAATAAATAAAAAAAGAAGCAAAATGAAGTTTTTAGATGAAATTAAAAACTAAATTAGAATGAAGTTTTTAAATGAAAACAGAGAAGAATATCTTCATGACTTTGAAGTAGGCAAAGATTTTTAAAAAACAGGACACAAAAGCACTATTCATAAAGGAAAAATTTGATAAATTGGGCTTCCTTAAAATTAAGAATTTCTATTCATTAAAAGAATCCATTGAGAGAATGAAAAGGCAAACCCAACTGGGAGAAGATATTTGTAGTACATATATCCAATAAAAGACTCATAACCATAATATATAAAGAATTCTTATCAGTAAGAAAAGATAACATAATTTTTAAAAAAGAAAAAAGACCTAAACAGTTACCTTACAAAATAAGATATCCAAATGTCCAAGAAGCATGAAAAGATGCTAAATATCGACAGTCATCAGGGAAATACAAAGTAGAACCACAGTTAGATGCCACTACATACTCACCAGAAGAGCTAACATTAAAAAGACTGAAAATTCCAAGTGTTAGTGAGGATAAGGAGCAATTGGAATTCTTATATATTGCTGTTGGGAATATAAATTAGTACAATCAATTTGGGAAACAGTTTGGTAGCATCTATTAAAGCTAAACATACACCTACTCAAAGACCTAGCAATTCCACTCCTGGATACATATTCAATAGAAATAAGAACTTATAATTACAAAAAAAAAAAAATCAGAGCAGCATTATTCATAATGGCCCAAACTGGAAACAGCCTGCATGTTCTTCAACAAGAATATAGATAAATAAATTGATATATTCTCACAATAGAATATCACACAGCAATAAAAAAGAATGAACCACATTGATACATGCAACAAAACAGATTAACCTTAAAAACATGATGATGAGTGACGGGAGCCGGAGTACATACAGTTTGATTATGTTTATATGAAGTTGAAAAGCAGGGAAAATTGATCTCTAGAGGTGATAGGGGTTAGAACAGCAGTCTTAGGAGGAATACTAACTGGAGGAAGTATAGGAGCCCCTGCTGGATGTTAAACTGCTCTACATCTTGATGTGGGTGGTGGTTTTACAAATTTTCATATGTAAAAATTCATCATACTATATACTTAAGATTGTTGCCCTTTGGCCAGGTGCGGTGACTCACACCTGTAATCCTAGCACTCTGGGAGGCTGAGGCGGATTGCTCAAGGTCAGGAGTTCAAAACCAGCCTGAGCAAGAGTGAGACCCGTCTCTACTATAAATAGAAACAAATTAATTGGCCAACTAATATATATAGAGAAAAATTTAGCCGTGCCTGGTGGCGCATGCCTGTAGTCCCAGCTACTCGGGAGGCTGAGGAAGGAGGATTGCTTGAGCCCAGGAGTTTGAGGTTGCTGTGAGCTAGGCTGACGCCACGGCACTCACTCTAGCCTGGGCAACAAAGCGAAGACTCTGTCTCAAAAAAAAAAAAAAAAAAAAAAAAAGATGGTTGCCCTTTATTATATGTAAGTTACACAGGAAAAAGAACTTATGTGAACAAAGCAGGATGCAAAATTAGCACATACAGTAAAATTACAACTATGTTGAAAAGATTTGATTGGGGAGAAGGGTTAGAAAAGAACTGAAGGAAGGAGGAGACTAATATCTTTATCTTACAAAATGGAAAATCAAGAATACTGTCCATACTTGACAGAATAAGAAATAAACTATAGATATATAAAGCTATAGAGATAATTAAGTCAAAATATTGATATATTTATATGGAGAAAATAGGAGAAGGTTGGTGCTAAGCGTGCTGAATCCTCATGTATCACAGAGGCAGCCATAGATAATATCCAAAATTGATATCCCAGAAAATGATAGGATACAAATATTGGTGATTTGAAGGTAATTAATCACTTCTCAGCCTTTGGCTAAGATCAAGTGTGAAGGTAATTATCAGAAGAAACATCGCCTGATAAAAGAGTTAAAAACAGTTATCTGTGAGGAAGAAGATTAGAAATTAGAATGGATATGGAAGGGGATGGTTGATTTTCATTAGTAGCCCTTTTGTGTACTGTATGATTCTTCAACCATGATTATGTATTACTTTGATAAAATAAATACATTAAAAAATCACTGCAGGCCAGGTGCAGTGGCTCTTGCCTATAATCCCAGTGATTCAGGAGGCTGAGATGGGAGGATTGCTTGATGCCAGGAGGTCAAGACCAGCCTGGGCAACACAGTGAGACCCCATCTCTTTAAAAAAAATTAACCTGACCAGGTGGCGCACACCTATAGTCCCAGCTACTCCCGAGGCTGAGGCAGGAGGATTGCTTGAGCCCAGAAGTTTGAGGTTATAGTGAACTATGATTGTGCCATTGTGCTCTAGCCTGGGTGACAGAGTGAGACCCTATCTCTAAAAAACAAAAAAGAAAAAAATCGTTGCATAGAAAAATACCTACAATACTAAAAACACATTAGTAATGCTTATATTTGGGTGATGGGAGTGTACGTGATCTTTGTCTTCTTACTTTTCTATCATACTTTTTTCCTATCTTTTCCAATTATTCTATAATAAATATGTATTTTATAACAAAAAACTTTTTAAAAGAGAGGAACATATTTTACATAATGTGAAAAATTCATATGATATCATGCTTATAAAAACAGAACAAAAATTGTAGGCATAGAATGATTTCTACAAATGTTAAAGCATAATAAAAGGAAATTACACTAAGATATTTGCAGTGCCTGTCTCTGGATGGGACTATAGATAACGTTTTCTCTTTTTACTTTTCTCTGTATTTTCATGTTTACTGACCCTGAATTATTTTTATAATAGAAATATTCAGTAAAAACAAAATACACACAATAGGCAAAGTCCAGATAGGAAAAAGCCAAAATTAATTCAGTAGGTTTCCAAAAGCCAATATTCCCTTGTTGGAACAGGTAGTCACTGCTGGAGGCCTCTCATACCCCTAACTGGGACTCTTGTCCTCACCAGCTCACTGAGGGTAGAAACTGCCCTTTCACAAGCCATGAGGCCAAAACCTTTCCCCATGGTCACTTTCCCTGTCTGCTCTCTCCTCCTTGAACATCTCCTTTCCCTTGACTCCCGGAACCACCCTCTGCCTGGTTCTCCTTCTGCCTCTGAACCCCAGGTCTCCACTGATTCCTCACCCACACCCCGTGTTCTCCAGACGGAATCACTGCGGCTCAACTCTTCTTTGTTTACGGAGGCTTGGGATTTCCCTGCCACTCCCAGCTGTTCCTCCACAAGGACTTGATGCTTGGCCCCTGCCTGTTAGGCTTTCCCTCCAGAGCTCCATGTGCCTGGCTCCACATCACTGAGCTCTCACCTCACACGCTCCCTGCTCAGACTGCCAGGGTAATGGTGTCCCCTCTTGGCCGCCCAACACTGCGAGGTTATTTACACAGTTGTTTACTTGCTCCTTGTTTGCCCTTCGCTGTAATGTGAGCTCCGCCGGGCAAGGACTTTGTCAGGCTCTGGCTCTGTTCTATCTCCACCTGTCTGGAACAGTAACTGCTTTGTAACTATGGGTTGAATGAAAGAAATAACTCCCTGAGAATTCCCATTATCATCCCCATTTTGTAGGCTTTTTTTTTGAAACTAAGCTTAAAGGGTTAAGCACCTTACCCATGGTCATACAGCCTGGAAGTGAAGGAGCTGGGATTTAAACCCAGGCTGGGTTCTTGATGCTAAGTCTATATGCTTAATCATTGCACACACTGACTTTTGGTGTGTGTTCACATAGATAAGAAAGGGACAATCAGATATAACCCAAAAAGGTTTTTTAAGTTTATAAAGATGAAGGTGGAGCACATTCTGATTGTTCAACATAGAAATGCATTTGTAGTTTCTTTTTTCTTTTTCTTTTTTCTTATAGGTTATCCTGCATATATTTTCTTATAATTGCTGCCTATGGTACTCTAGCTATTCTTTTTCCTACTTGCAGAAAAGCTAAGAAAGGAAAAGTTCCTTAGCATCCATATCTTGATACCAGGGCTCTCCAACAAACTCATTTATCCTCTTATAAGATTGCCCCTCCCTTACTTTTCTGGTCTAACCCAGTTTATATATATATATACACATTATATATTATTTATTTTGGGGGCAGGTGGAGAGGACAGGGTCTCGCTCTGTTGCCCTGGTCTAGAGTGCAGTGGTGTCATCATAGCTCACTGCAGCTTCGAACTTCTGGGCTTACATAATCCTCCTGCCTGGCTAATTTTTTCTATGTATTTTTAGTTGGCCAATTAGTTTCTTTCTATTTATAGTAGAGACGGGGTCTCACTCGTGCTCAGGCTGGTTTCAAACTCCCGACCTCGAGCTCAATGTCATCTCTACTATAAATAGAAAGAAACTAATTGGCCAACTAAAAATACATAGAAAAAATTAGCCGGGCATGGTGGCGCATGCCTGTAGTCCTAGCTACTCGGGAGGCTGAGGCAGCAGGATTGCTTGAGCCCAGAAGTTTGAGGTTGCTGTGAGCTAGGCTGACGCCATGGCACTCACTTTAGCCTGGGCAACAAAGCGAGACTCTGTCTAAAAAAAAAAATTGTAATTCCCTGTTTACTATCTTTTTGTGTATTTATTGGCCATTTGAGTTTCCTCTTCTATGAATTGCCTGTTCATATATTTTATCCAGATTTTATTGGTTAATTTTTCTTATACTAATTACTAATCCTTTGTTAGAGATTTGAAAATATTTTCTCCCAGTCTGTGGTTTGGCTTTTAACTTTGTTTGCAGTGCTTTTATTTTTTATTTGTTTTGTTTTGTTTTTCTTTACAAAACACCAGCCACAGAAGAATGTTTGCAGTGCTTTCAGATGCACAAAAGTTTGTTTGCTTTAGTAGTCAGTCTTCATGATCATTTGTGCTGTGTTTTAAGAAATTATTTTTTCTTCCCAATCATAAAGATATTTTTCTTTATTTTCTTTGTAAAAATGTTTATATCTTACATTTAAATATTTTATCTGAATTCAAGCTACTTTGGAGCTATTTTCATATGTATTTAGTTACCATAGGGATGGCAATTGTCAGCCCCACTTCTTTTTAAAATTTTTTTTAAATTTTTAATTATTTTATTATTTTCAATTTCTCTTTTTAATTTTTTCTTTTTTGCATCAGGCTTGCGTCCATGTCTTTAGAATCAACCCCACTTCTTGAAGGGTCCATCCTGCTCCTTGATGTGTGTGGCATCGTTCATGTACCAAGTCCCCATGTGGGCATGGCTCATTTTCTAGGCCCTCTGTTTGGTTCTGTTTTTCTACTTATCAGGCCCTTTGCCATTATTAACTCATTGCTTTATTGACTATAGCCTTTTTATACGACTTAATCTCTGGTTGGGCAGCTTCCCTCCTTACACTTTTTCAAAATCGTCTTGGTTTTTCTTGGCTCTTCCATATAAATGTTTGCATGAGTACATTTTAAAAAATCCTTTAAGGATCATTATTTCAATCACACCATGGGGATTTTTAAAAAATGGAAAGATTCAATAATTCTTCCAGAATAACTCTCTTAACATTTAATTTAAGGAACAACAGAGTTTACAAATGAAGCAAGAAATGTTTCACCATGTCCTCCAATGGGCACCTCTTGCTGGTTCTCCTGTGTTTGTCTGTGCCTTCACCACTGCCCAGAGCCTGCACTTACATGTCTAGATCCTTGAAGATTGCCTGCTCTTTCCTTGGATTGCCTGTGTTTTCCAACCATTCCTTTCTTTCCCTGCCACTGCCCTGGCTCCGACTCTTTTCCCCCTTGCTGGACTGGAGGCAATAACCTCTAATTTATATCCCTGCTCTTAAGGCTTTTCTTCCTCCACAGTCCATCCTGATTACTGATTAATGGTCCCAAAGGATTAATTTCATCCAGCCCCTCCCAGACTCAGAGCACTCATCAGCTCCTTCTGTCTGTGGTTTAAAATATAACTCCTCAGGCTGGCACACAACAGGCCCCACCTCACCTGCCCAGCCCTCTCGATTGTCCCCTGATCCTCCACCAGTAGCCTTGAATCCTGCCAGACCTAGCTCCCCAGTGTCTGGGGAACCTGCCAGCTCATTCTCTTATCATCCCCACCCCAGGAGGGCCCTCTGCCTGCTCCCCAAATCCTACCTACTCTGCCTGCAACAAGGCAGCTTGCTTGACTACCAGACCCAGAATAGTTTTCCTATTTTGAACATCCTCAGAGTTTCTATTTGCAAATTTTGTAGCAAACCAATGCAAGAACCATTTTCATTGTGTAAGGCAAGGTTTCTAAACCTGAGCACTATTGACACTTTGGCTCGGATACTTTTTTTGTTGTGGGGGGCTGTCCTATGCCCTGTAGGAGGTTTAATAACTTCCCTGGCTGCTAGTAGCACCTCCAGTGTGGCAACCAAAACTGCCTCCAGACATTGCCAAATGTCCCTGGGCTGAGAACTACTAGTGTAAGACTTGTGCCACCAGCTGCACTCTCCAAACAGGAGGCTCCCGGAGCTGGATGTACCATCCACCTCCTGGCACTAACCACACAGCAAGTAGCAGGCATCTCTGAACACTGTGGCAGTTGGCAATCGCTCTGGTTCAGAGCATCTGAAATGAAGCTGTCCGCAGCCCAAGGACATGCCCATGTCTGCCTCCTAATGCACACTGAGAGCATCCTGTTGCTCAGATACAGTCCATTCCTTGAGGTGACAACAGAAAGAAGGCTGGGAAAAGCCTTAATGGTACTGTAGGGACACAGACTTTCATTCAATATCTCAGAGGCAGTAAGCCATGCAGTAGGGAAGCAGAATAAAATGTGAATGTGAGCCACTTTTCCTCTAGAAATGCTAAGGCCATTTGGTTCTCAGTGTTTGGGATATCCAGGGAATTAAGCTGAGTCTTATTCTATGCTTTTCACTTTCAAAAGCAATTCAGTAACAGGATCTCCTTGGCTGCCACTGTGAGAACACCTTTACAGGTTCACCTGTGTTTTCAGCACCTCTCTCACAATGACCCTTCTCTAGAATGATGCAGACCCTTTCCCCAGGAGAACACTGTGCAGGCCTCCAGGAGACCCTACAGGGCTTGGACCAGTTAGGCACCAACTTGAGTCCTTACCTGGCCGTGGGATCTGAAAAAACGCTCCAGGTCACAGTGTCCTCAATATGTTTTTAGTTTTGCTCTAAGAGGGTCTCACTCTGTTGCCCAGGCTGGAGCGTAGTAGCATATTTATAGCCCACTGCAGCCTCAAACTCCTGGACTCAAGTGATCCTCCCACTTCACCCTCCTGAGTAGCTGGGACAACAGGCACATGTCACCATGCTCAGCTAATTTTTTAAAAAAAAATTTTATAGAGACAGGGTCTTGCTATACTGCCCAGGCTGGTCTTGAACTCCTGCCTCAAGCGATCCTCCCACTTCAGCCTCCCAAAGTGCTGGGATTACAGGTGTGAGCCACCGCACCTGGCCAGTGTCCCCACTTTTAATGGAGCTTTGCAGTTGGGGTTTGTGGGGGCCCAATGTGCAGGCTTGTCTCCTGGGCTAGGTTGTCACACTCTCCTTTTGGCCTACTGACTCCTTAAGGGCTTGCTCTTCCCCAAGGCCTTAATCCATGATGGACACCAGGCCAGTCTCCTCCCACACTGTCCAGGTTGACCAGCGCAGGACCCCTCCCTCTCCTCAGCTCCCCTCAGCTGTCCTGACTTCCCTCTGCGATGTGCATCTCCACCTTTCAGTTTCCTGTGGGGAGGGTGCCCGGCTCACCTCTCAAGAGTTGGGCTGCCGTGGGAGGGTGAGAGAAGCAGGCAGACGGGATGCTGTGATTGGTCTTCAGCACCTCCAGAAGATCTGCTGTGTACCTGGAGAGACACCAGCATGTTCAGACCATGGGCCATGGGGGCAGGACGGTGGCACGTTGGACCAGAGTTACTTGAACTTCTGGGCTCACATGGTCCTCCCGCCCCACCCCCCTGAGTAACTGGGACTACAGGCATATGTCACCCGGCCCAGCTAATTTTTTCTATTTTTTGTAGAGATGGGTATGAGCCACCAGGCCTGGCTTGGACCTCTGTTTCTTGATACTTCCTCAAGCACTCCTGAGTGTAGCTTGTCCACTTCCCCTCAGGGCCCTTTTCCCAGAGGGAGTGGAGAATTGGCCCAGACTAGTGTGTAAGCCACCTAGCCAGGGGCAGGGCTGGCTGCAGTGCCCTAAGGGCCCGCACTCTCGTCTAAGCAGCAGCCCAGGGCTGACCAGGGAGCAAGAACAGAGTCCCAGAGTCAGAGTGGTCCTCAGCAAGGGAATGGGTCCCCTGCAGGCCAGGGGCTCTGTGTGTTACCTCTGGGAATGCTTTCCACAGCCCACATCTAGGGTCCCTTTCTCCCCAGATTGGGGGGCAAAGCCAAGGCCCTGAGGTGTCTAGGAGACAGCCCCACTGTTCTCAGTCCTGTCTCATTCTGGGTGCTGAGAGCCAAAGGGCTCTGGGAAGGAGACAGGGATAGGCTGAAGCGATAGGGCCTGCCGCCCTCACTTACCTGGGGTCAAGATTTATCTGAGTCCTGTCTGGCTCCATTGCCTCCTTTCTCCCCAGCAATCCTGTCAGGCACCACGAGAGCCAAGGAGGGCAGGCAGGGCAGGCAGGTGTGGGCACTGCTGTGCTGCTGGCCTCTCTGCAGTGTGGGCCAAAGGGCGGTTGGCCCGGCAGGGTCTTCCCCTCTGTCTCTCCTTTCTCGGGCCTCGCTGCACCAACTTTGTATCAGAGTTCACCTTGGAGGAATTTGATCTTCTAGGCTGTCTGAATTCCCTGTTCCTGACTCCTCCTAGGTGTGGTCACTCCCACCTCTCCTGGACAAATGCCTTTGGCTGCCTCTTGCCTCTGGCCCGCCCCCATCCTGTATTCCCCTTTTGGGAGCCTTTTAGGGCAGGCTGGACTCATGGCAGAATTCCTGTTGCCCAGGGCCAGGGTGGGGCTGAAGTCCTCACTCCTTAGTGCAGGGTCCTCTGGTCAGCAAGGCCTGGAGAAGCCGGACGGAGCTCAGGCCCTGGCACCTGGGGGTGGGAGACTCGGGGCTGAGGCGTCGGCTGTGCCTGGTGCTGTGCTGGCGTGAGGGAGGGAGGCCCATGCAGGCTTCCCAAAGCCCAGTCCATGTCTCTTGATGACTGGCTTATCAAGCCAAACACTGGGCCGGAAGATGCAGCCAAGTGGAGGCCGTATTTAAGAGGCACAGTGGCAGAGTGAGATTTTAGAGCATTTTGACAGGTTTTAAAAACCTGACAAATTAACATGCTTATGAACTATTTTATTGGTTTCTCTTCTCTCTTGAAATAGATTTAAACCTCTTTGAGGCCAAATACATGTCTTATACTATGATACCCCTACGTTCCTAGTACAGGTTCTGACATATACTGAGTGCTCCTTAGAATTTGGTTGCATAACTGATAAAAGAATAAAATCAGAGCAACAGCAGCAGCCGGTGTCTATTGAGCATGTCTGGTGTGCCAGGTGCAGTGGGAAATGCAGTATGTTCCTTATCTCATGAAAACCTTACAACCTTTGCCAGAAGTCTTTGGCAAAATGAAAGAGAGAGAGAGAGAGAGAGAGAGAGAGAGAGAGAGAGAGAGAGAAGAAAGAAAGAAAGAAAGAAAGAAAGAAGAAGAAGAAAGAAAGAGAAAGAAAGAAGAAAGAAAGAAAGAGAAAGAAAGAAAGAAAGAAAGAAAGAAAGAAAGAAAGAAAGAAAGAAAGAAAGAAAGAAAGAAGAAAGAGAGAGAAAGAGAAAGAGGGAAGGAGGAAGGAAAGAGAAAACCTTACAACCACTCTTGTAAGGTAGTACTATCCTTATTCCTATTGTAGAGATTTAAAAAAAAAAGCTGAGGTTCAGATAGGTTAGGAAACCAGGTAGAGAGCCATGGGGGTGTGGAGAGAGGCAGAAGGGGAGGTGAAGATTTGAGATGGTGAGGAAGGGGCCTGTGAGAGGCCGAGAGCGTCAGTCCTGGTGAGGCAGAGGAGGCGCTGGGCTGGGAGTAGATGATGAGCAGAGGAAGCGATTGCTAATGTGGTACCAGGAGGACCCCTCACTCCTGCCCCCCAGCACCTCAGAGTATCTCCGAAGGGTCAAGCAGGGCCCCCCTCTAGTTGTGCCCTCCTCTTAGAGTACAGTTCTTGGGACAGAACAATGCCGAGATCCAGGATTCTCAGGGGTCCAATTACCTTCCAAGGTACAGGGAAGGGCAGGAAACAGAAGGCAAGGGCACTGACCCCCAAAAGGCCAATGGCCTCGGCCCCACCCTGGCAATGACACACTGACTCAGCTTTCTCAAACCATTTCCCCAGCAGTGTTCCCTGGGTCATTCCTCTCTAGCCCGCTGAGAGACCTTGAGCTTAATTGCTCAGAGCCCTGAACTTTAGACTTCCCAGAGGAGATAACAGAATGCTGAAGATGTTCTCCCAAACTTCTTCAGGACAAAGTAGGTCCCAGCGAGGCAGCAGAGACTGCGAGACCCCAGGGGAGACTGGACACCCCTCAGGATGGGCAGCAACTGAGGGAGGAAGAAAGGGAAGGTGTTGGTGAGAGGGAGGGCTTTAGCTTTGATGGGTGCTTCTGCACCACCCCAAGTCCCTAAGTGGCCATCTTCTATACGGTATGGCCCATGGACCAGACCTGGGGGAGGCCCTGACCCGAGGCCAGCCTATCCTTAGCTAAGCTTTGGCGGGGCCAGCCAATCAGTCTTCTCTTGGCAACTGGGGACTGCTAGCTGTCAAACGCTGATTTTTAGAAACAAGAAGAACAAGTCCTTCTTCTTTTCATTTTTTTGACCTAATTTTCCCCACAAAATTACATGATAACATAATATGATACCTATCACTTCAGTTTGGGCTTCCTCAGTATAAGAGTCACTTTTGAAAAATCAAAAACATCAATTTTCATCAGTTTTCCCCAGGGCTCCTCAATCATTTGATATTTAATTGAATGTGTTTCCTAGTTGATCACTTTTCACATTTCTTATAAGTAGTGGAAATTAGGCATAGGCTTCCTTTTTATAAGACATGCAGTCAGGATTACCAGCTGTACTGGTACACACACTGATGTTGTTCCTTTAAGCCTGTCTCCTCCATTAAGCAGCGATTTCCAAATGAAACCTCACAGTGACTAGGTTTGGTTGGTAGTGATCTCATGTAGTCTAAAGACCCAGGCTTTCATATTGTGTGTGTTGTGTTCTATTGGCGTTGTTTTATTTACGCAGGTGGAAGAAGTAGTATTGAGAAACACCCAAAGCCTTCCTTGTTATGGTCAAGAGATGCAGAAGTGTAAGATACTAAGATTAGAGAATTAAATTTTGTCTGGAAAATCATTTAGATGCTTTCAAAATTCTAAATTTTTTTTAACTGAACTTATCTTTTTGTCTATTTCAAGGTCAAGATCAAGTGTCTTTTCTCTTCCAGGTATTTACAGTAACTGCAAATGTGGAAGCTTCTCTTTTCTCTGAGAGCCAACAGATTGTCCAATGTTCTTAACCTGCCAGGAACTTGCTATATGTAAGGCTGGACTTTATAAAACCACAGAGCAGGCACCAATTTTCTGGGAGCACATTTTAGTATTTTCTACATATAAAGTTCAGTCCTTGGCCAGGCATGGTGGCTCACGCCTGTAATCCTAGCACTCTGGGAGGCCAAGGCGAGTGGATCGCTCAAGATCAGGAGTTCAAAACCAGCCTGAACAAAAGTGAGACCCCGTCTCTACTAAAAATAGAAAGAAATTAATTGGCCAACTAAACAGAGAAAAAAATTAGCCAGGCATGTTGGCGCATGCCTGTAGTCCCAGCTACTCGGGAGGCTGAGGAAGGAGGATTGCTTGAGCCCAGGAGTTTGAGGTTGCTGAGAGCTAGGCTGATGCCACGGCACTCTAGGCTGGGCAACAGAGTGAGACTCTGTCTCAAAAAAGAAAAAGTTCAGTCCTTATTTCATAAATGTGGGCTTTGTCATATCTAATTAAACAAAATTTATTTTTGAAAGTCACATTTTGGGCATGGTCATGATAACAAATTTGATTTATTCAGTTAGTAAAGTTCTTATGGGAACATTGAAGATAATTACATTGCCATGATAAGTAAACAAACCCAATAAAGAGATTTTGTATATCTGACCAAAGATAGACTTTATCTATGTCTTTTTAAATATATGTAATATTTTCTATAGAATTATCATAGATAATAATTAGTTGAGCTATCCACAAAATATAGCTTAAATGTGTTACATTACTACAATGATTATAGGGCAATGGTAATTTTCTGAAGCTTAAATTTTTGTAAAAACACTCTTTTGAATCCCAATTATTAGGGCATCACCTTACAGTTTTCCTGAGAATTAATTAGCTTATTTATATTTTAATATATTCACAGTTTTCCATAGTATGACTTCCATGCTACCACATAGTACCTTTCATATGTGCCTGGATTCTGATGTGGTAGACCCAGGTAAAGAATATTTTGAGTATTTTTCCATTTTAGAATTAGACCATCCTTTCTAATATGTCAATCAAGGAGAGATTTAAATAAAAACCCAATAATCAGAGAATTTTGACCATTGTCATAGTCATGGTCGTAGTCTGTAAACTTGAGGGTTTAGAAATGGAGCAAAAAGCATAAAAAGGGGCTTTATGTTCTTCAGAAAATAAAACATTAAAAACTGTATCAACAGTGTTTCAAGGCCCATATCCACAATCATATTTCTCTTAGTCATGAGTCATGAATTCTTATTCTGTCAACCCTGGCTCAATAGTCTATGTTCCTAAAGCCATCTCTTCCCAGGCTGCATGGTCCTGGTGTCCTGAAGGTTGGGTCTTTTGGCAAAATGAAAGGGGGGGGGGATGAGAGAGAGAGAGAGAGAGAGAGAAAGAGAGAGAAAGAAAGGAGGCGTTTTTATCCACTTTGAAAGATGATCCAATTACTTGAAAACTTATTTGTACTGATTACCCTTTACCTATACAAAACCTAAATGAAATCCTCTCTTTTATTTATCATATTGCCTCACAATGTGGGCCCAGTAAACAGGGCAGCTCTTACGATATCTTTAAGCACACTAAGAAAATATCAGCATCTTAACTGTATACATTTTTAACATCCCTCTTTGTTTGACAGTGCCATGTCATAGGTTATGAGCGGAGACAGCAAGCCTTCGGTGCTATCTAGCAGGCCAAAAGACACAACATCAGTTTTAATATTCTGAATTTAGGGCCGAGCATTAGAAAGTAGCAACATCAAAAAGAGTTGTCAGATAAGAGTATAGGTGCCTGAGGATAAGAAAAGGTCATAGTGTCAGCTGTGTTATTAATCAAACTAACAGTCCTTTACATCCGCGGTCCCCAACCCCCGAGCTGCGGACCAGTAACTGTTTGGGACCAGGCCGCAGAGCTGCGCCGCCCCGCCCCGTCGGAGCGAAAACTGTCTTCCATGAAACTTAGGAAGGGTGGGGCGCAGAGCAGGAGGTGAGCGGGAGGAGGAGCCAGCGACGCTCCCCACCGCTCCCGTCGCTCACACCGCCTGAGCTCCGCCTCCCGGGCTCCCCCTGCCGGTCTGTGGAAAAATGGTTTTCCCTGAAACCAGTCCCTGGTGCCAAAAAGGTTGGGGACCACTGCTTTACATGGCATAGTATAAGGTAACATAACAAATATTCAGTATTTTCAGTTGTTTTTTTTTTTTTTTAGAAGTGAGTAATCACCTACTGTTCTATTAACTTTCTTATAATTGTCTACAGTCATAAAATTTCCACAAACAGCAAAAAGAGATATAGGATAATAGATCCTAGTAAAATTACTTTTAGGTTAGGTGAGATGATGACTCTACACCATTGGGCAGAATAGGCAGAAAGCAAATAACTTTTTATTGCATTACGTTGAAAATAGACTGTTATTCAAGGAACATTTCTCTTCCAAGCTACCAGTTCTCTCCTCCAATAATACAATACATCTTTTAAGAATTAATTAATGTCAATATGTTTCAATATGTGGGTATTTTAAATGTGCATACATATATATAGTTATACATGACAAGTGAAAATATGTAAATCTTAAAACTAGAATTTAAAATATAGTATCAGTCATAAGAAAATAGTCTTACTATTTTTTTTTTTTTTTTGAGACAGAGTCTCATTCTTTTGCCTAGGCTAGAGTGCCATGGCGTCAGCCTAGCTCACAGCAACCTCAAACTCCTGGGCTCCTGAGATCCTTCTGCCTCAGCCTCCTGAGTAGCTGGGACTACAAGCATGGGCCACCATGCCTGGCTAATTTTTTTAAATGTATTTTTAGTTGGCCAATTAATTTCTTTCTATTTTTAGTAGAGCTTGAGTCTCGCTCTTGCTCAGGCTGGTTTGGAACACCTAACCTTGAGTGATCCACCCACCCCGGCCTCCCAGAGTGCTAGGATTACAGGAGTGAGCCACCACGCCCGGCCTGATCTCTGTTTTTAATCAAATTAATTTCCTAAAAATGTTCCAGTTCAGTGACCCCCAATTCAATATTATTCTCAGTTTTAAGAACAAATTAGGGACCTTGGAATTACATATTTACCCATGTTGAAGAACAATACAATCACTGTTGAAATTAAAGTACACTTCAAAATGGTTATCACACTTTGGCATACTCGAAGTTCCTGCATCTTTGAGAAGACTCCCCAGTTGGCTGCAGCAGCTCTGAAGCTAACTGGTGGCACCTGGGTCCCAGGCCTGTGGCAATAATCATAAGAGAGGCTGGGAATGTGAAGACCTGGCCATTTTCAGCTCCAACTGGGATAGGGAAATGATTTTTGCCCCTGATAGAGACTTATAGTTTGAAGAATCCTCCAAACACTGAGGGGCTCAGACACTTAGCAAGTGGTCAAAACAAATGACAAATGTCAGCTGCATGTAACAGAAAATCCAGTTATTTTCTCTTATAGCAAGCAGCTGAGAGGGAGGCAGTTCATGGCTGGGGCAGCAGGTTAGCAATGCCATCACGTTCTGTCCGGGTAGCATGCTGACTTGTTTTGCCTAACGGGTCCAAGGTGGCACCCTCAGCCAGCACGTCCAGGTTCAAGACATGAAGAAGGGGACAGCTAGGCGCGGTGGCTCACACCTATAATCCTAGCTCTCTGGGAGGCCGAGGTGGGCGGATTGCTCAAGGTCAGGAGTTCGAAACCAGCCTGAGCAAGAGCGAGACCCCGTCTTTACTATAAATAGACAGAAATTAATTGGCTAACTAATATATATAGGCAAAGTTAGCCGGGCATGGTGGCACATGCCTGTAGTCCCAGCTACTTGAGAGGCTGAGGAAGGATGGCTTGAGCCCAGGAGTTTGAGGTTGCTGTGAGCTAGGCTGACGCCACGGCACTCACTCCAGCCTGGGCAACAAAGCAAGACTCTGTCTCAAAAAAAAAAAAGAAGGGGACAGAGCTCTACCAACTGTGCCATCTTACCTAAAGCCTGAGGATAAGAAACCCTCGACTGACATCCACTTATGTCCCATTGACCAGAATTGTGTCATGAAGCCGACGTGGAAATGAGGGAAGCTGGGAAGTTATTTAGCTGAGCAGACCATTGCCCATTTCCACACACAGCAATTTTGTCACACAAAAAAAGGAAGAAATGGAGCTAGGGTGAGCAATGAGCACAGTTTGCTTCAATTAGCACTGGGCCTGAAAGGGTGAGGTGAGCCACCAACTTTCTCCCCACGTGTTTCTCTAAGGTCATGTGGTCTCCAGCAACGCCAGCCTCGCAGGGGCAAGACCTCTCCGTCCCCAGCACGTGTGGGGTGGGCTGGGTTTGCTGTCGGAAGTGCCGGTCAGCATCACCGGAAGCAACAGAGCAGGCTGCAGACAGTTCTGCCAAGGACACCCCCCCACACACACATTCCTCAGCCTCTGTGATGTCACACAGAGGACTTCTTTCCTTCCACCCTGGGTTGTGGCTTCCAAGGCCACCGTGGCCATGGGGCTCTGGGAGCCAGCATGGGGGAGGAAGCCTAGTGGCTCTGATCTCCCCTGGGGGCACGGGAGAACGAGCCATGCCACTGCTAAACGATGCCATGCCCCTCATGAAGGAGCCTCGGCCCCCACCTCAGCTGCCGCTTCCCTGGGTCCTCCCGAGCCTGTTTGCCGCCTTCAACGTGGTGCTGCTGGTGGTTTTCAGCGCTCTCTTCTTCGCGTTCCCGTGAGTCTCCCATGCAGGTGTCAGGTTTCTTACAACAAGATAGCAAGGGAAACAGATAGCATGGGCAGAGCAATGCAGAACAGGGGGCCGAGGGCAGGGAAAGGGGGATGTTCTAGGCTTAGGGAACCAAATGTGCAAAGGCACAGAGGTCTGGGGTGCCTGGTACATTTGCGGAGCTGCAGGTGGCTGGTCATGCTGGCGACATTCAGTGGAGCCTCTATGTGTCTGTCTGGATATTCAGAGTGGCTTTAAAGTGTGTGAGTCCTAATCCAGGTGAGCTGGGACCTGGGGGGAGCTTTGGGCTGCCCCAGTTCGGGACTCAGTCTCCCTCTGGTCTCAGTTGCAGGTGGCTGGCTCAGAACGGGGAGTGGGTCTTTCCCATCGTCACAGGCCCTCTCTTTGTCCTTACCTTCTTCAGTCTCGTTTCACTCAACTTCTCAGACCCTGGCATCTTACATCAAGGTGAGGCCTCAGCCCCCTGGGAGAAGGAGGTGGCACTCTAAGGGCTGGTGCCTGCAAGGATGATTCCTAAAGTGCCCTCCCATCTCCCTTCCTCTGGCCTCAGGACCCCTTCACGCCACGTCCTCTTTGCTCTGGTCCTGACACTTCATTTCTCATGCCACTGAGGTTGTTTTCCACTTGCCTTGGAAGGAAGGGCCAGGCAGGCCACGGCGAGAAACCAGTGGTCTCTTCCTCCTTCCACTGCACACACAATTTAAAGCACCAATTGCTGTTCCAAAGGACTGAGTTCTATATACATCTCCTTTGGCTGGTGATCTACCTTCCCTTTGACTGCCAGCCTCTCTAGCTGGGTCAGGTTGCTCAGTGGGGACACGGACTGTTCTACCCACTTCCCCCCCACCCTTCCTTGTGCCCAGTGATGCTGTAGGGCTGCCCCATGCAGCAGAGTGATGGAAGGGCCTCCTGCTGCTGCCCAACCCTCTTCCCGTACCAGGCTCCGCCGAGCAGGGCCCCATGATGGTGCATGTGGTGTGGGTGAACCACAGGGCCTTCCGCCTGCAGTGGTGCCCAAAGTGCTGCTTCCACCGCCCGCCCCGGACCTACCACTGCCCCTGGTGCAACGTCTGTGTGGAGGTGAGTGCCCTTCTTGCCTGCCCACCTGCCACCCTTCTCCTAGCCCCTGGCTGGGACCAGGAGCACCCCTCCTATGGGGGGACCAGGGGTGGGCATGAAGCCATCTTCCAAGACTGACTAACTCCCAGCCAGTCTTGGTCACTCATGCAGGTCACCCCCTCTGTGCCTGCACCTGTCCAGGGAGGCTGGCCCTTGTCTGCACAGGGGATGACATGCATGGGGCATCCACATCGTCCTGGGCCCGATCAGGCTAGGGGAAGGAAGGGCAGCCCCTGTCCCACCCCTGGGCTCACTGTCACTAGGTACCCAAGGCCCTCAGGCTGGCTATAGGCTTGGTCTGGGGAGCTTTGCCTGTCCCTGTTTGGGCATCCACGTCAGAGGATCTCCTGGGCCCCCAATGCTCATCTCTCGAGGGCTCAGCCTGCAGGAGGCTGGCTGGGAAAGGGTGTTATTTTCATCCTCATCTAGCCAGGCGCAGGAGCTCGAGCCTGTAGTCCCAGCTACTCGGGAGGCCAAGGTGGGAGGATCATTTCAATCCAGGAATTTGAGGCTGCCATGAGCTATGAACATGCCACTGCACCCCAGCATGTACAACAGACTCTGTCTCTTAAAATAATAATAATTTAAAAATAGTAATAAAATATAATTCTCATCTAATGGATGAGAAAGTGGAGGCCCAAAGATATTCTATGTTCTGCCCAAAGTTACACTAGTATATGTGGAAGACCACTAGTATATGTGGAGACTTTGTCTCTAAAGGCCTGGTGACAGATGACCTTATGAGCCACAGAGCCCTAACAATGCTCTAACAATGGAAATCCCAGTGTTAGGGACTTTGTGGCTCAGTTTCTTCCCCGGGGTGGGAGCCAATGAGTGGGGCCAAGGGCAGGTGGCCTGGTTGGGAGGGGGGTAGGCCTCAGGATTGGGGGCGATGGAGGCTGGGCGGGAAGACAGGTTCTCCCTGTCGCTCAGGACTTTGACCACCATTGCAAGTGGGTTAATAACTGCATCGGTCACCGCAACTTCCGCTTCTTCATGCTGCTCGTCCTGTCCTTATGCCTCTACTTGAGTGCCCTGCTGGTCACCTGCTTGATCTTCCTGGTGCGCACGACCCACCTGCCCTTCTCCACCGACAAAGTCATCGCGTATCCGCACGGGCCTTCTGGTCCACGTGGGGAGCGGTGGCAAGGGGACAGGGACAGCCCAGGGGCGGGGTTGCTGAGGGCGGGGCTCACAAGGCCGGGCTGGAGGGAGAAGCGGCTCGGGAGGCCGGCCTGGGACCCGGAGGGTGGCAGGGGCCAAGGGGATGGGCGGGGCTCCCAGGAACTGTGGGGCGTTGAGAGTCTATGGGGTCACGGAGGAGCGGGGTGCTAACGGTGGAATGGGGACCTGGACAGGCAGGGCGACCGCGGGGTCGGGTAAGGCTTCGCGCGGGCGGGCTGGACCACTGGCGGAGCAAGGCGAGTGGATGGAGCGGGGAGGGGCTGGGGTGGTCGGTTCGGTGGCGCAGCTCCTTAGCCCGCGCGCAGCGTCACAGTGGCTGTCCCCGCCGCGGGCTTCCTGGTGCCGCTCTTCCTGCTGCTGCTGATCCAGGCCATGTCGGTGAGCGCGGCCGAGCGCTCCTGCGAAGGCAAGGTAGGCGGGGCGAGCGCGGGCGCCGCCGCGCGGCCTGTGCGAGTCACCTTGCGCCTCCGTGACCTCAGCACTTTCCGCTCTTTCCCCACTGCCCTTGGCACTGATGCCCCGACTCCCTCCGCGCGCCCGGCCCTCGCCCGGGATGCCTCGCTAGTCCTTCCAGACCAGCTAGATGTAGCTCAAATCTCGCTCCACCTGGAGCTCTGGTCGCTCTGCCTCGTGGGTGCACTGCCTCGAGAGCCTACTGTGTGCTAGGTCGCCTGTGTTATTTTGAGGGATGGAATAGAGGCGAGTCAGGCTACATCCTGCACTTTATGTTGATGAACCTGAAATCAGAGTAACACCAGCCAGACAGCCACGAGCGCTCTGAGAGGGGCTGGTCCTGAGTTTTATGTAGCACACACTCAGCGGAAGAATTGAGAATTCGGGGAGGATTGCATTGTACAGTAGGACTTAGTGGTCTGGGAGGGGCAGAAGACAGAGGGGAGGGTATGGCAGGGGAGGGCCACACCTTTGCAAAAGTCTGTGGGATGGTGAGGAAACAGTTCCAACTGGGGCAGAAGGTGGCATGGGCAATCAAGTTGATTGCTGGGGGTGGCCACATTAGAAAGACACAGAAAGTCAGGCTGAGAATTTAATCTTGATACAGTGGAAACCTAAGAGCCATGGTAGGATTTTTTAAAAGTCAAGTTTAATGAGGAGTAATTACCTACAGTCAAATTCACCCCTTTTTAGTGTGCAGTTGTGTTTTGATAAGTGGATACAGTTCGGCAACAACCACCATAATCAAGATTTAGAACAGTTCCAAATCCCCAGGAAATTCCTCATGACTTTCTGTAGTCAATTTCTCCCCCTACCTGCAAGCCCTGGCATCCACTGATCTATTTTCTGTCCTTATAGTTTTTCCTTTTCCAGAATAAATGGAATCGTTGCCTGGCTTCTTTCACTTAGCAATAATGTATTTGAGATTCATCCATGAGATTTTATTCTTCTCCAATTTTTTTATTGTTCATATCAGTAGTTTATTCCTTTTTATTGCTGTATGGTATTGCATCGTATGGTTGTACCACAGATTATCCATTTACCAATTGAAGGATGTTTATGTTGTTTCCAGTATTTGGCAATTATAAATAAAGTTGCTATAAACATTAATATACAGGCATGTGAACGTAGGTTTTCATTTCTATTGGGTAAATACTTAAAGGGAACATTGCAGGGTCATATGGTAACTGTATGTTTATATGTAACTTTAAAAGAAATTGCCAAATTGTCTTCCAAAATAGCTGTACCATTTTCATTCCCACCAGCAATGTGTAAGAATTCCAGTTGCTTTGCATCCTCGCCAATATTTGACATTGTCTGTTGTTTTTGGTTTTTGTGTTTTAAAAAATTTTAGCTAGCCTAATAAATGTGTGGTGATATCTCATTGTGGCTTCAGTTTGTCTTTTTCTAATGACTAATGATGCTGACTGAATATCATTTCATGATCTTATTTGCTGTCTGTATACCTTTGGTGAAGTGTCTGTTCCAATCTTTTGCCCATTGAAAAAAATTGTATTTTTTTTCTGATTATTGAGTTTTAAGAGCTCTTTATATATTCTGGATTAACATGTGTTTTGAAAATATTTTCTCCCATCTGTGGCTTGTCATTTCATTTTCTTCACAGTGTATTCCACAGAGCAAAAGTTTTAATTTTGATGAAGTACAATTCTTTTTCTTTTATGGACCATGCTTTTGGTGTTGTAATTACGAATTCTTTCCCTAATCCAAGATCACAAAGATTCACTCCTGTGTTTTTCTCTAGAAATTTTTTAGTTTTAGATTTACATTTAGGTCTGTGAATCATTTGGAGTTAAATTTTGTATATGGTATGAGGTATGGGTCAAGATTTATTTTTTTTGCATAAGGGTTGTTCCAGCACCATTTGTTGGAAGGCTATCCTTCTTCCATTGAGTTGTCTTTGCACATTTGTCAAAAATCAATCAACCATATGTATGTGGGTGTGTTTCTGGACTCTATTTCTTGATTAATATCATACTGTCGTAATGTTGCTTTTATAGTAAGTCTTTTTTTCTTTTTCTTTTTTATTAGTACAATTTCTGGGGTCCATGTGAAATTTTGTTACATGTATATGATGTGTAGTGATCAAGTCAGGGTATTTAGGGTATCCATCACTGACTATGATACATTTTTGTTTAACTGTTGTCACCCTACTCTGCTGTCAAACACTGAATTTATTCCTTCTATATAACTGTATAATTTGTCCCCTTAAGCCCACTTCTCTTCATCTCCCTCCTCCTTGCCCCCCACTCACCCTTCCCAGTCTCGGTTATCAGTCTTTCCACTCTCTACCTCCATGAAATCAGATTTTTCGCTCCCACATATAAGTGAGAATATGTCATATTTGTCTTCTTATGCCTGGCTTATTTCACTTAAGATAATAACCTCCAGGCCAGGTGTGGTGGCTGATGCCTCCCAACACTTTGGGAGGCTGAGGCAGGAGGGTCACCTAAGGCCAGGAGTTTGAGACCAGCCTAGGCAACGTAGTGAGACACCCCGCTCTACAAATCATTGAAAAAATTAGCTGGATGTGGTGGTGTGCCTATAGTCTTAGCTACTCAGGGGGCTGAGATGGGAAGGTCACTCGGTCACTTGAGTCCAGGAGTTTGAGGTTATAGTGAGCTATGATCATGCCACTGTACTTCAGCCCAGGTGACAGAGCAAGACCCTGTCTCTGGAAGAAAAAAAAAAAAAAGATAATGACCTCTAGTTCCATTCATATTGCTGTAAATTACATGATTTTATTCTTTTTTATGGCTGAATAGTATTTCATTATGTGTATATATCACATTTTCTTTATCCATTTATTCATTGATGGGCACTTAGGTTGATTCCTTATCATTGCTATTGTGAATAGTGCTGCAGTAAACACTCGAGTGCACGTATCCCTTTGATATATTGATTACTTTCCTTTGGGTGGATACCCAGTGGTGGGATTGCTGGATTGAATGGTAATTCTAGTTTTAGTTTTTCGAGAAATCTCTATACTGTTTTCCATAGTGGCTGTACCAGTTTATATTCCCAGCAACAGTGTATAAGTGTTCCCTTTTCTTGAGGGAACTCTTGAGTGGCTCACACCTTAATCTTGGCACTTTGGGAAGCTGAGGCAGGAGGATCACTTGAGGCCAGGAGTTGCCCAGCATGGGCAACATAGTGAGACCCCTATCTCTACAAACAAATTAAAAAATTAGCCAGGTTACCAGACAATTGACATACATGAAAAAAAAAAAAAATAGACAGGCATGGTGGCATATGTCTGTAGCCCCAGCTACTCAGGAGGCTGAGGTAGGAGGATTGCTTGAGCCCAGGAGTTCAAGGTTGCAGTGAGGCTATGATCACACCATTGCACTCCAGCCTGGGAGACAGAGTGAGACCCTGTCTCTGAAAAAAAAAAAAAAAAAAGGAATTCCCTTTTCTCCATATCCTTGCGAACATCTGTTTTTGTTGTTGTTGCTATTGTTTGTCCTTTTAATAATAGCTATTCTGACTAGGGTAAGACAATATCTCATAGTGGTTTTGATTTGTATTTCTCTGGGAGTTAGTGATGTTAAGCATTTTTTCATATACCTGTTGGCCATTTTTATATGTCTTCTTTTGAGCAATGTTTATTCATGTCTCTTGCCCACTTTTAATTGGATTATTTATTTTTTTCCTGTTGAATTGTTTGAGTTCCTTGTATATTTTGGATATTAGTCCCCTGTTAGATGAATAATTTGCAAATATTTTCTCCTATTCAGTAGGCTTTCTCTTCACTCTGTTGATTATTTCTTTTGCTGTGTAGAAGCTTTTTAGTTTAATTAAATGCCATTTGTCTACTTTTGTTTTTGTTGCCAATGCTTTTTAGGTCTTAGGTATAAAATTTTTGCCTAGACCAATGTTCAGGAGAATTTTTCCTAGATTTTATTCTTGTATTTTTATAGTTTTGAGTCTTACATTTAAGACTTTAATCCATTTTGAGTTGATTTTTTGTATATGGTAAGAGATGGGGGTCTAGCTTCATTTTTCTGCATGTGGCTAACCAATTTCCCCAGCACCATTTATTGAAGAGGGTATCCTTTCCCCAATGTAAATTCTTGTCAGCTTTGTCAAAGATCTGTTGGCTGTAAATATGTGGCTCTATTTCTGGGTTCTCTATTCTGTTCCATCGGTCTATATATCTATCTATTTTTATAATGATGCCAGGCTGTTTTGGTTACTATAATCTTATAATATAGTAAGTCTTGAAATCATATAACGAGAATTCTCTAACTTTGTTCTTCTTTTTCAAAGTTCTTTTCACTATTCTAGTTCCTTTGATTTTCCATACAAATTTTGGAATCACCTTGTCAGTTTCTACAAAAAACAATCTGCTAGGATTTTCATTGGATTTCATTGAACCTGTAGATCAGGTGGGGGAGAATTGATATTTTAACAAGATTGAGTTTTTGAATCTATGAACATGCTATACCTCTTCATTTACTTAGATTTTCTTTGATGTCTTTCATCCTTATTTTTTAGTTTTCAGTATATCTCATGTCCATTTTATTAGATTTATATCTATGTATTTCATGGTTTTTGTGCTAGCAAATGTGTTTTTTAAAATTTCAATCTACATTTGCTCATTATTATAAGAAAATACTATGGATTTTTATATAGTGGTCTTGAATCCTGCAATTTTGCTAGACTCACTTATTAGTTCTAATAGCTTTTTTGTTGACTCCACATAGGAAATCATGTCATGTGTCACTTCTTCCTTTCCAATCTTTATGTTTTAATTTTTTTCTTTTCTTATTATATTGTCTCAGACCTCCAGTACAATGCTGAGCAGGAGTGATAAGAATGGACATCCTTGCCATGGGAGCCCTTCCGCAGGACAGTAACTTGGCTAGAGGCTGTTTTAGGAAAACTGTTGGGCAGCATTGATGAGGGAGGGGCTGCAGACACTGGACAGCTGAAAAGACAGAGGAGCCCTCTCTGCCCACCTCCTCCCATCCTCTCAGCCACCAGGCAGTCACCCCACCACCCCCAGATTTGGTTCCCCCCATCTATGACTGCTCCCTCTGTATGATCAGCTCCCTCTGTATGTCTTCTCTCTGCAGCCTCAGTGAATCATTTCAGCCTCTCTGGGCAGCCTTCTTCCTTCCCTCATCTAGTGGTCCTTCCCATAGATCTGCCCTCCCTCCCCTGCTTAGAGGGAGACCCTGCCAAGCCAGCATCTCCAGTCTCTGTGCACCTAAATGTGGTCTATACTCTGTGACTCACCAGATGGGCTCTTTCCCATCACCTGCAGCACCTGCTTCAGGCATTCTTTGCATGGCCTAATTCTCATTCCCTGGCTACCTCTATACCCTGCCAGTCTCCTCCTGCAGTCACTTGCCAAGTTGTTGGCAGCAATGGCTCTGGAGCGAGAGAATACATGTTCATGTCACAGCTCTGCTCCATAGCCTACCAGCAGGTAGATCCTGGGTATGTTACTTAGCCACCTGGTGGCTCACTTTCACCATCTGTAAAACGGGGCAGCATGAGTTAATTTGTGTAAGCCACATAGGATAGTGGCTGGTACAGGTAAGTGCCCTATATGTTGTTTGTTATCATTATTACCATTCCTTTCTATTGTCATGTACACGTGTTCATGTCTCATCTTAAAAGCAAAGCAAAATCCTTCCTTAACATCACTGACCTTCAGAAAGGGTTGGCTGTTCTCACTTGCCCTATGTTTCATCTTCCTCACCCACTTTCTGGGCTGCCCGCTCTTCTTGCTTGATCCCTTCTGCCTGTGCTGCCCTGACTGCTCCCCGCAGAACCTCAGGCCCTGTGCTGGGGCTGCCCTCACCGTCCTGGAAGTTAAGGCTGACTATGCTGTTTGCAGCACGTCCTCAATCCCCAGTGCAGTGCCTGGAGCATTTTTGAGGCCCCCAAGTATTTCTGAATAAGTGAGTGAACTAACCCACAAGTGAATGAACAATACTTTGGGAGAGAGGAAGGGGAGAAAGAGAGAGAAGCCTAATGCCCTAATCCCTGGGGGAAAATGAGAAGGGAGGCCACAGGGAGGTGGGCGGGAGGTGGGGCAAGATCAAGATGCCCATTGTGGCTTTAGTCCTGTGGAGTGTGAGGGCCTGGGAGACACAGAAGCAGAACAGGAGCCAGGGAGAGGGGACAGTCTAGGAGTCAGAGCTGTTGGTTCCATTCATGTCTGAGAGGGTCCTGTGTGTGGAGAGAAAGGTACTCAAATTAATCAGTCAGTTATTATGAATTTATTAAAACAATGATCATTCCTTTAAGTATTTTTCTACACCTCATCTACAGTCATCACTTCTCTATACTTTATATATATCCAATAAATCAAAATTTGTTTCTCTAAATTTTAAAATTCTGTAAATTTAATCACATTCAAAACATTTAAGTAAAATCATTAATAGAATATCAGTTTCTTTTAATGCTTTATATATCTTAAAGTAGGCAACTGTGGGCAGTTCTGGAGCCGTCCTGATTTTCCTCCTCGGGAGGCAGCTGCCCGGCATGGAGTCCTGATTCTTCTTTTTTCTGTTTTCTTATTAAATTACAAAATTTTAAGGGAGTACAAATGCTTTTAGTTGCATGGATCGCTTTTTTTTTTTTTTGAGACAGAGTCTCACTTTGTTGTCCAGGCTAGAGTGAGTGCCGTGGCATCAGCCTAGCTCACAGCAACCTCAAACTCCTGGGCTTAAGCGATTCTTCTACCTCAGCCTCCCAAGTAGCTTGGACTACAGGCATATGCCACCATGCCCGGCTAATTTTTTTTCTATATATATTAGTTGGCCAATTAATTTCTTTCTATTTTTATAGTAGAGACAGGGTCTCGCTCTTGCTCAGGCTGGTTTTGAACTCCTGACCTCGAGCAATCCGCCCGCCTCGGCCTCCCAAAGTGCTAGGATAACAGGCGTGAGCCACCGCGCCCGGCCGCATGGATCGCTTTTGTAATGCTTGAGTCACAGCTGTAAGTGTGCCCATCACCCAGATAGTGTCATTGTACCTGTTAGGTAGGTTTTTGCCCCTTCCCCCTCCTTGATTTCCACTGTGTTTTACTTCCCTCTGTGCACATGCATGCCCATTGGTTAGTTCCAGTTTAACAGCAAGTACATGTGGTGTTTGTTTTTCTATTCTTTAGATACTTCACTTAGGATAATGGTCTCCAGTTCCATCCAAATTGTTGCAAAAGGCATTAATTTGTCCTTTTTATGGCTGAGTAGTACTCCATGCTGTACATATACCACATTTTATTAATCCACTCCTGAATTGATAGCACTTGGGTTGATTCCACATCTTTGCAACTTTGAATTGTGCTGCAACAAACATTCGAGTGCCGGTGTCTTTTTGATAAAATGACTTTTTTTCCTTTGAGTAGATACTCATTAGTGGGATTGCTGGATTGCATGGTAGGTCTACTTATAGTTCTTTGGGGAATTTCCAAACTGTTTTCCATAGAGGTTGTACTAATTTGCAGCCCCACCAACAGTGTTATAAGTGTTCCTTTCTGTCTGCATCCCTGCCAGCATCTATTGTTTTTGGACTTTTAAATAAAAGCCATTTCGACTGGGGTAAGGTGGTATTTCACTGTGGTTTTGATTTGCATTTCCCTGATGATTAGTGACATTGAGCATTTTTTTTCATATGTTTATTGGCCATTTGTCTATCTTCTTTTGAAAAGCTTCTGTTCATGTTTTTTGCTCACTTTTTAAATGGGCTTGGTTGTTTTTTCTTGATGATTTGTTGGAGTTCTTTGTAGGTTATGGATATTAGCCCTTTATCAGATATATAGTTTGCAAATATCTTCTCCTATTTTGTAGGTTGTCTATTTGCTCTGTTGATTATTTCCTTAGCTGTGCAGCAGCTTTTAAATTTAAGTAAGTGTCATTTATTTATTTTTGTTGTTGCTGTGATTGCCTTTGGGTCTTAGTCATAAATTTTTTGCCTAGGCTGGTATCTGGAGGAGTTTTTCATACATTTTGTTATAGAATTCTTATGTTTTCATATCTTAGCTTTAAGTATTTTATCCATCTTGAATTAATTTTTGTTGAGTGGTGAGAGACGTGGATCCTGTTTCATTTTTCTGCTTGTGGCTATCCAATTTTCCCAAGACCATGAATTGAATAGGGCTTCTTTTCCCCAGTGTATATTGTTGTCTGCTTTGTCAAAGATCAGTTGGCTGTATGTGGATGGTTTAATATCTGGGTTCCCTATTCTATTCCATTGGTCTCTGTCTCTATTTTTGTGCCAGTGCCATGTTGCTTTGGTTACTATTGCCTTGTAGTGTAGTTTGAAGTCTGGTAATGTGATGCCTCCTGATTTGTTCTTTTAGCTTAAGCTTGCTTTGGTTATTCAGGTTCTTTTATGGTTCCAAATGAAGTGTAGAATTATTTTTTTCTAGATCTGTGAAATATGACATTGGTATTTTGGTGGGGATTGCATTGAATCTGTAAATCACTTTGGGTAGCGTGGATATTTTAACAATGTTGACTCTACCAATCCAGGAGCGTGATATGTTTTTCGTGATATGTTTTGTTTGTGTTGTCTGTGATTTGTTTCCTCAGTGTTTTGTAGTTCTCTTTGTAGAGATCTTTCACTTCCTTGGTTAAGCATATTCCTAGGTATTTTATTTTCTTTGTAGCTATTGTGAATGGTATTGAGTCTTTGATTTGACTCTCAGCTTGACTGTTATTGGTGTATAGTAATGCTGCTGATTTGTGTACATCGATTTTGTAGCCTGAGACTTTGTTGAATTTATCTATCAATTCTAGGAGTCTCTTGGAGGAGTCTTTGGGGTTTCCTAGATATGAGATCATATTGTTTGGCCTCCTCTTTCCTAATTTGGATACCCTTTATTTCTTTCTCTTGCCTGATCGCTCAGCTAGGAAGTCCTGGTTCCTTTCGGTGGATATAGTGGTGAAGATCTCAGTCTTTGTGGGCAGGGCAGGGCCACAGTGGGGTTGGTGGTGGGCAGAGGTGCTGCTGGGCCATTTTTGGTTGTGACAAAACATTTGATAGCAGGCTGTTCCGGGGTGGAGGAGGGAGCTCAGTCAGGATGGGTGAAGTGGGAGAGGGTCAGGGGAGAGGGGAAGAATCTCTTCAGTCTACAGCATTCAGGACTTGCATGTGTACTCAAGACCTTCAGCCTAGATTTTCCTGGGCCATGTTATGGTTAGGAAAATATCACTGGGCTCCCATACAACTGCCCTTCCAGATAATGATATTCAGTGAAGGCATGAGTTTAGAAGAAAAATGAAAGGTGGGATAGTGAAGAAGCAGAGGGTAGAACTGTCTTTGAGCAGTTTAGCAGCAAGAGGAAGATCTGAAATCCTGGAAGGTAGCTGGAGAATGTGTGTGGCCCAAGAGACAGAGAGGGGAAGATGGCGCAGTGGGGGATGGCAGGAGTTACAAGGTGATGGGGTGTCCCTGAGAAGGCAGGAGAGCTGGGTGTGCTGTCAGCGTTCCTCTGGAAAGAGCTGCTCAGAAGTGGGCGAGGGCCAGGGTGGGCTTTACCTGGGAGCTCAGGAGGGGTGGGGGCCTCTTCTCACTCTTCTGGCTTCCCCGCCCTTGGGTCTTGCTGCAGCCCTGGGCTGAGCCCTGGCTGAGCCTCCCAGCTCAGGGAGGGCCACTGGGTGATGACCTACCTACCCATTCTTGCTGGTTCTGAGCTCCTCTTCCCTTCCCTTTCCCTCTCTAGCGCAGATACCTTCATGGATACAACCCTTTCGACCAGGGCTGTGCCAGCAACTGGTATTTAACGATTTGTGCACCACTGGGACCCAAGTGAGTTGGCAAACCAGAGGCCCAAGAGTGAACCCGGGGGCTGGTGGAGTGGGGTGAAGCTGGGTTTTTCCTCTGGCCCCTTACCATAGCCCCCAGGTCCTTACACTGTTCCTGTTCCTTTGGGTTTTCTCCAGGGCACTGTGGGAGCCCCTTGGAGCCTCCCCACTTCCCTGCCTCTGCGGGTTCTTGCCCCAAGAAATGGGGTGGAGGATGACACTGCCCGGTGACACTGGCCTCAGCTCCCTGTAGTGTCTGGCATTGGGCTGTTTGTCCCCCAAGCTGAGGTGGCAGGGGAACCAGGCCAAGGAGAGCAATGACCCCTTGTATCTGGCCTGTCGCCCCCCAGGTACATGGCTGAAGCTGTCCAGCTGCAGAGAGTCGTGGGGTCCGACTGGGTGCCCATGCCGAGCCTGCACTCCCCAACATGCCCCTTTGCTTTCGAGCCTCCAGCACCCCTTGGGCCCCAGCCCCACCCTCTGGGTCTGTACAAGCCAGGGAAGGGCCCCCCAGGGAGTGGCGAGGCTGCAGCCCTCCAGGAGGTGAGAAGTGTGTGTGTGTTGGGAGAGGGCGTCTGCGGGCTGTACAGGGGAAGCCCCTGAGGTTGGGGCTGGCCCTGAGGCTGGAGCACCGAGGGCTTAGGGACAGGGGTTGAAGGTAGAGTCTCAGGCCTTCAGAATACACACAGGAGTCCCTGGAGACACAAAGAGAAAAGACTACACCACTAACTTGCTGGTTGGCCTTGGGCCAGCCACTTTTCTGGGCTTCAGTTTCCTCAGCTATTAGTGAGGACTGAGACTTGTCCAGTGGTTTATAATTTGGGGGACCCTCTCCCCTCACACTACACCACTAACTCGCTGGTTGGCCTTGGGCCAGCCACTTTTCTGGGCCTCAGTTTCCTCAGCTATTAGTGAGGACTGAGACTTGTCCAGTGGTTTATAATTTGGGGGACCCTCTCCCCTCACACCCTGGGCCTTCACCAGGGGTGAAGATTCCTTTAGTTAAAGGAATTTTGACTCGAAGCCTGTATGAAACATGCAGGTAGAACACTAGCAGTGAAGTGGGTTGAGTGACCCACAGTGCCCCCTGGGGCCTTTGCAGTGACACTCTGTGTGTCAGCCCAGTCCCTTTGCTCTGCCTCCAGTGGGCGGGGGGCTTGGCTGCGAGCTGCGGGGCAGGGGCTTCAGGAGAGCCCTCATGCCCCCACTGTGTTCAGCTGCCCCTGCTGCAGGAGGTCCCCAGGCGAGGGGAGGCCTTTCTCTCGCCCCTTCGCACGCATCGATGCCAGGAGCACCCGCACCTGAAGCCGACCTCCTGAGCCCGGCATGGAGGCCTCTCTGTGCCCTGCCGTTGCCCACTCCCCTGGCGGGAGTGCCGAGACCCCCACTCCCATTAAACACCCTTGCCTGCCTCCTACAGCTGCCCTGCTGCCTGTGTCCGGGCCTGGGGATGGAGACCTCCCAGGAGGGAGGAGGCAGAGTTGGAACCCTGCCTGGCTCTGTGACCTTGGGTGAGACCTCTAACATTTCGCTCATTCCTAAAATGGGGCAACAGTAATAACGGCAGTGGCCGGCCTGGCCCAGCTCCGCCAGGGCTGCAGATGACGGAAAAGAAAACCCAGCATGTCCGGCTGCAGGGGGCGCCCGCCGCCAGGCGATTCACCCTCTGGGCCTGGTCCCTCCCTGTCACACTGGAGCCTGGTGGACGGGTTGGGTTGGGCCCGTCCTGGAGTGGCGGTGGGGCACGTCAAACTGTGCCTCTGCCAGTGGCCAGAGTGTGACTGGGACTGGGAAGAGTGTCACCGTCCTGGAAGGTTGTCAGAGATTGAAATGAGGTGTTTTGCGCAAAACACCTGGTACACAGTAGGCACACAATGAATGCAGCACTATGGTCCTCATTATTTTCTCCCCTGCACAGCTGACAGACCACCCAGTGTGTCTCCAGCTGCTCAGAGCCCCCAGGCCACCAACTCACGCTCTCAAAGTGGAGGGAGGGAATTTTCTTCAAGTGCCCGCGTGCTTCTGCCTCCTGAAGCGTCTGGATGGGCACTTGGTGTCACCCTTGTATCCAGGTGAAATCAGGGTATGGTGTTTGTTGGTGAAAAGGGAAGGACGTCACCCCCAGGGGCCCGTGGAGGTGCGTGTCTGTGTGTGCACACGCACATGCTTGTGTGGCGGGAGTAGGAGCTTGTCCTCTGGGGCATGCTGGCCCAGAGCCCGCCCTCCCTGCCCCGCCTCGCCTGGGAGGTGGGTACCGCACACACGGCAGGACTTCCCTCTGGAACTCTGGACTGCAGAGCCCCGCCAGGAGGCTGCTCTTTCCTCCTCCTTCCCAGCCCTAACCAGCCCCGCAGGCCCCAGGCCCTTCCTTGTCCCGACCCTGCCCAGCTCTCCAGGACCTTGGCCAGCCCTCTGACAGCCTCAGGGACTTAACTCTTTCTCACTCCCCTTTGCCCTGTCCCAGTGTTGTCTCCACAGTCCCAACTCTTATCCCTGCTCAGCTCAGAAACCCCTGGGCTTCTTTTTGTATTTGTACTTATTGGGGTACAAAAATACTGCCCAGCTTTGGCCTTGCTGTTAATAGCTGCAGGGGCCATATTTAAATTTCTTAGGACCCACATTTCAGTGTAAAGGAAGCAGCTTCCCTCAGTCTGGGAAGCCCCACAGTTCATGGTCATGTGGTAGGGAAGGAGGGGAGGAGTCTCTTGAGCCCCCTATGCCCACATATGCACCAGCCCCTGTGTGTGGTGCAGGAGGGTGCAGCTGCCCAGCTGCACAGAGGTGGCGAGAGTGGTGTGGCCATGGCGCCCTCAAGCCACTCCCAGATGAGAGCCTTGGGGTGGCCTGGGTCTGGGTCACAGAGGAGGGGTCCTGGACCCTGGGCAAAGGCCTGGATGTGAATCATGGAACTGGCTGCGGGGGGTGGGGGGACGTGGCACCTGCCCAGAGTCCCTGCCCTGTCCCTCTGTGCCCTGCCTCCTTAGGACTGCACTTACATGGCTCAGTCTCAGGTTGAGTCAACTCCCCTCACACCCTGGGCCTCAGTTTCCCCATGGGGCAGGACATAATTTTACTCATAATCTCAAAGGAGGCCATGACCCTTCTAAGAGCAAATACTTCTGGGATGTATACTTGGGGTCCCTCTGCTCCCTGCACAGCCTGGGATTTCAGAAATTTCTTTAGGGAAGTCCCTTAGATCAGGGTCCTCAGCTCCTGGAGAGTTGAGACTTAGCCCCTCCCTTCCTTTGGCTTCCTAACACCCCATGCTTTCTCCCCTAGGCCTTGGGTCCCTTGTGGATTCTCTCCTGCCAGGCTGGAGGCCTCCTTTGAGCTGCACCCCTCCCTCTGGCTCCCTCCTCATTTCTGCTGAACCTGTCCCTGTTTCTCAGATGCACCCCGCCCAGTGCTTGGCCTGCAGATAAGGGCAGGGGTGTTATCAGAGCCCAGTTGTGGGCCTGCTGCCCACACACCCAGGAAGCCCTGCCTTCCCCTGGGCCGGAGCCTGCAGGGCCGGCAGCCCTATGAGAGGTCCCCAGCCAGCTCCCTGAACCTGATGGGAGGGGGTGGACCCTGGATGGAAGTCCAGAAACGGCACCCCCATCTCCACACCTTTCCTCCGTGGGGCTTCTGGAAGGTCAGGGCGTGTGCGGTGAGACTCCCAGTCTGGTCTCTCAGCTCTGCCACCAACTAGTGTGCTATGGAAGAGGTCGCCCCCCTCTGCTCAGCCTCGGATTCCTTATCTGCAGAAGGATTGGTGGTCATAGCCACCTCACAGGGGTCACAGGATCCTAACCCTTCAGAGCAGGAAGGGACTCAGGGGCCACTTCGTCCAGCTGCCCTCCACCCCTGGTTTCCCAGATGGGGCTGCTGAGGCCCAGAAAAGGAAGCGATTGCTTAAGGTGACACTGAGGCAGTAAGCCCGGCGGTTCTCTGGTTCCCAGGCTGCCATCCTCATTCCTGCTCCTGAGCCATTCCAGAGGATGAAGGTTGGCAGTGACCACAGGGCCCTGCTTTCGGGCTCCCCACCTCACAGCTGGGCTGGGCATTTCAGCACGGGGCCTGGGCAGCTGATAAGAAAGTCGGGCTTAACTCTGTGTCCAGCCCTGTGCTGCCAGCGATAATGACACCCTGCTGCTCAGCCCTGCCCTGCTCTGCCCTGACTGCCCCACCCATGGGGGCCCTGCAGGTGGCTGAGGATGTGGAAGGGCAGCGGACAGATGAGGGTAGGGGAGGTTACTGCATGGGACCCAGGGCCTGGGATCGTAATACCTCACTGTGCACAGAAACCTTGCTGGCCAACCCTCATGGGGACCTGGGCGCAGTGCCTGGCACCCAGGGGATGCTCCATCGGAGCCCGGAGCCCTTCTTTTTAGTTCTTAGCATGCAGCGCGCGGCCGAGGGATGCAGGGACTGAAGGTTCGCCAGAGCTCCTGCCCTGGGTAACAGAGCCTTTCCTGAGCATGGCCCTGGCCAGAGCCTGTGCCACGCAGTTCATATGATCTTTAATCCTCACAACAACTCTACGAAGTTGTTATTCTAGTTTTAGAAATGAGGAAAACAGCCCTGAGCAAACAAGTTGCTTCCCCAAGGTCACGCTGCTTCTAAGGGGCAGAACCCAAACCCCCGTGGCCCTTTACTGTTAATGACGCTGTGCTTCTGTGGGAAGTCAGCACATTTTCTCCAGCACAGAGTCATGGTTGAGATGTGGGCTCAGAAGCCAGACTGCCTGGCTTCTCCTTCCATGAGTGAGATTAATAATTGTAGCTCATCGAGCGGTTATAGCGGAAAGTCTTGGCGCAAGCACTGGCAGGGGCAGGTGCTTAAAAGAGGGTGGTGATTATCACGGCAGCGTCACGGAAGGGGTGCACGAGTCAGGACTCTGAGATCTGCTGAGACCTCGGGTGCCAGTTACCATGACAACAGCAGCCAGCTTGCTGCGGATTCCCTGATGGTCGGGCAACAAAGGTGAAGGGTGCTATTTCAGAGGGGTGGATTTTACAGAAAATCCACCAACCCTGGTGTCTCTGGGCCAAAGGGGATTAGGACCATGGGCTGAGAGTCTCCAAGGGAGCAGTAAGACGACCACCCGACAACAGCTCTGTCCTCCGGCTGGGAAAGTAGCTGTCTCTTCTGCTCTGTGGCCAGGCAGAGTGCCTCGGGCTGAAGGAAGTCAAAGCCAGGGTGGTTCTGAGCTGCTGTCCCTGAAGCTGCTCAAGCCTCCGCCTCCGGGCTCTGCAGTCTGTCCTCTCCCAGCAGCCTCTCTGCTGTCTGGGCTGCATCTCTGCCTCACCTCTTCTCACCTTTCCACTCTCACCTTGTTCCACTTCCCCCTTGTTCTTCCCCTCCTCCTCCCCCTCTTTTCACTTTCTTTTATCAAACTCTTTCATGCTCTCCCCTGCTCTCACTCTGTTGCTCTCTCTCCCACCCCACCCACTTTTCCTGGACTGCAGCTTCCAGGAACAAGTAAACCGTCTGAAAACTTGCAAGCACTAACTTCTAACTGTGTGGTTCTTGGAAGCCCCAGGGTCTGCGTGCGGAACATGCGGAACTCTCTGCCAGGCTGGAGTCAGGACCTGCACAGGGCACCTTTGTTTGTCTCTCCCTGGGGCTTCTGCCTCCCAGGCAGGCACCCACTTTCCCAGCTACTTTCTGCTTGGGGCAGTTATGCTGCTCAAATACAAGATTCCCAAACTGCAAGGGGCCCTGCTGAATAGCTAGCCACCTCTCATTTATCAGTGAGAAGAGAAGCAAGGCAGTGGGGCTTCCCCCAGGATCACACAGACAAGCAGAGGCCAGGCCCACTCGGGATCTGCCTTCTCAGCCCTGTGTCTTCTCCACCCCCTCCAGAGAGAAGGCAGGAAGCACTCTTTTTGTTTTTGTTTTTGAAACAGAGTCTTGCTCTGTCTGTCACCTGGGCTAGAGTGCAGTGGCATTAGCCTAGCTCACAGCAACCTCAAACTCCTGGGCTCAATGATCCTCTTGCCTCAGCCTCCCTAGTAGCTGGGATTACAGGTGTGTGCCACCACACCTGGCTAATTTTTCTATTTTTAGTGGAGACGGGGTCTCCTCCTTGCTCAGGCTGGTCTCGAACTCCTGAGCTCAAGTGATCATCCCACCTTGGCCTCCCAGAGTGCTAGGATGACAGGTGTGAGCCACCGTGCCTGGCCAGGAAGTCTCTTTTTTGTCCTGAAGTCCTAGAGACTTGGCTCCAGTGGGCAGAACCCTAACAAAGACAGCAGTAACATGTTTGAATGCGAACTGTGTACCAGGAACGGGGTTAAGTGCTTTGCTGGCATTCACTCATTTACTCCTCAGACAACCTCGTGAGGAAGGTGCCTCTGTTACTTCCGGGGTGTGACCCTGGACAGTCCTCGGGCCTTTAGGGACAGGGTTTGCCGGAGGATCCTCAGGGCTACTCCTGCCCTGACCTCCTGGGCTTCCTTGACTCAGGGACCAGGGAGGAGGGTCCGAGTCTAGGGACAAGTCCTGAGGGGGACAGGGCTCCAGGCAGGGCTTAGTCCATGGCCCATTAGGAACCTGAGTCACCTGAATTTCAGCTGTCCCCTAGTAGCATGAGGTCACCAAGCAAGGATTACGACCCCCAGCAGGGCCCTTGCCGTCTGTGCTGGGGAAGTCCTCAGCCAGCAGTTCCTAGATACCTGCTCTTCAGCATTGATAAGAATGGAAAGACCCTCTCCTGCCCACCCGTTCTCAGCAAGGCAGTGAGATGCCGTGGCCGGAGCATGGCTGGGCGTCAGGAGAGCCAGGTGGAGAGTGGGCAGAGCCCACTTCCTGGCCGCTTCCTGGCCTCCTGGCCATGTGGCCCTGGACGAGGCCCTCGGCTCTCCCAGCCGCCCTTCCCTCACCTGCAAAGTTGAAGCTGACACCTGCTTGTGCTCTAGCTCACAGTGCGCTTGGAGATTACAGAGTGCGTGACGGGCAGACACTTTGTGGACTCACACTCCTTCTCTTGGGCCAGGACTGAGTGTGGGGTGGTTACAGAAGGACTGAGGGGCGGGGGGTCCGACTCAGGTTTGGGAAGCCGGGTGGGAGAAACTCCCTTCCTCTTTTGTCTCCATTTCCCTTCTTGGGATCTAACCCCTTTGAAGTTGCTGAGTTTAGATCCTTTGGAAATGGCCAAGGCTGAGGATGGGACATCAGATTTTAAGTTCCAGGCAGACTAAGCCTGGATTTCCCTCATGCGTGACCTTCTCAGCTCCCTCCTTTCCCTGCCGATTATCTATCCCTAGGGGAAAGAGCTGGCTGGACTTGGGTTTGGGGCAGAGGTGGGGCCCCTCTGTTCCCAGCTGGCAACACAGTCTATTAGCTGCCCGCAGCCCCTGGGGTTGGAAACCTATGGAAGGCCTCACGGCCTGGCTGTGCCCAGCTCACTCTGAACCCCCCTCGGCAGGGACCTGGGCTGCTGGCCCAGCTTGGCCAGGAGGCCCTGGCTGCCTTGGGCACAGTCCAGACCAAAGAGTAAAGGAGGTTTGTTCCTGAAGCAGAGACCAGAAGTAGGCACACAGAGGGCTCTTTGCTTTGGAGGTGAAGCCTTTCAAGATTTGTTTTTTTTTAAATATCCTGCTCTAGGAAAGAGAAGCCAAAAATCAAACGTTCCTGAAACATGGATTTCAGGTGACTTTAAAGGAGCAATTTGTTTGGTTTCCGTCCCACCCCATTTCTGCTCAGTGGGATCTTGGGCACTTGTCCATGGCGTTTGGTGGAGGGTCCACACCCTTCCAGGCTCCCTCACCCAGCGTCACCGGAGGGCCAGCCTGAGGGCCTCTTCTGACGCCGGAGCCCTGAGCTTGCTCTCAGGGAGGGTCATCCACCTCAGAAGTACAGGTCACTTTTCCTTGACCTCAGCTGCATTGGCACTGCTGACCACAGCCTCTTTCTTGAAAACTCTCTTTACCCTTGACCTCAGGGATCAGACACACTTCTGACTCTCCTCCTGACTCTTGAGTGCTCTGTCCAGGACTCTTCCTCTCACCTGCTAGCACAAAATCTTCCAGGTCCCGTCCCTGAGGGCGTGCCCTGCTCTCGGAGAACTGCTCACCCCCTGCCTTCAGCAGTGCTGGGCCCCATGGAGCCTGTCGCAGTCCCTCAGGCCCTCCCAGTGGCCCAGGCTTTGTGCCTTAGTCTTCTGCGATTGAGTTATTCCCAGGGAGCTTCCACCAGATGCTCAAGCTCTTTCCATGTTCAGGGGCAGCTGAACAGGGTGGTAGGGCCTGGATCCAGATGTCCGAGGGCTTTGTCCCAAGCTTTGGGGCTGGCTTAGAAAATCCAAAGCATGTCCCATAGCTACCAAGAAGGGAGCCGGAACTAGAGGAATCTTCGAGCAGCCCTCCTCACCCCTAGATCCCTGCTTCAGTGCATGTGGGACAACTGGGTAGGGGGAGAAGGAGGGCCCTGCAAGAAGGGCCATGGAGGGTGGGGAAACTTATTGCTGTCATCCAGGGAGGGGCTGATACAAGACTGAGGCCTGGACTGGATGGTGGAATAAGAATTCATTCATTCATTCACTCATTCAACAAACACTGAGTAACCACAATGTATTCAGGAGGCAACTAAATGAATTTTTAAAAAGCATGTACTCATATATAGTATAAATAAGTATTAATTTAAAATTACATATTTTTTTTAAAAGATTGGAAGCAAGTTCATCACCTGCTCATGGTGACTGAGCAAGTGTGTTCTGATTAGGGGGATTCCAGCTGTTGGCCTGGATGTCAGGACACCGGATTTCTAGGCCCTGCGCTTCCCCCACCTTGCTGTGTGACCACGAACAGCCTTCCCCTCTCTGGGCCTGGTTCCTCTTTAGTGAAGTGGAAGTGTGGACCCAGAAGATCTGTGGCTCTTTCCAGCTCTGGTGTTGCCCGAGAACATGCAGGGTGCGGGGTTTATGGACAGTTTCGTTGGCATGTCTGGGCTGTCCACCCCTGCTGCAGGCCTGGCCAGGCAAGCCGTGAATGCACCCTGGCCCCCCAGCTGCCGGGCTCCCCAGAGGGGAGGGGAGGAAGCGCCGCCCGCAGCCTGACCAGCTGCCAGGCTCTGATCTCAAATTAGAATCCTGCCTCTCATCTCTGCACTGTTTTGAATCATGAAAAGCCTCCTCCACCCTTCAGCTGCAGCCTTGTGACCAGGAACAGAGGGGGCTCGGGGCAGAACCGCACAAACTCCGCGGCCCTGAGGCCTCTGTCGGAGGGAGGAGGGAGGAGGCGGGAGGGGGGAGGGAGGAGGCAGGAGCGGGGAGGGAGGAGGGAGGAGGGGACCAATCCGGCTTCCTGTTCTATGACTATTCTGACTACTGGTATTATAATACTATTTCCTAATGTTCATCACAGATGTTCAAGAATCCTGGAGTATTATGGGTTAACTGGCCCTCCTTGGACAGCCCCCACACCCAAATACAGTAACAGTGTTGTGGTGGGAAAACGTGTTCTGACCACATCTTGGAATATAATCTAGTTGGAAATTAAGGTTGCCTTAATTCTTAAATTCAAATCAGCTACATCTTGGCCAGGATACTTAACCTTGTGCACTTGGTGGATAGCCCACACCTCACAGGACTGTCCAGGGGTCAGGTGAGGGGAGGTGTGGGGAGGTGGCAGCACGTGTGGGCACTCAGTAGGTATCCCCCTCTGCCTCCCACCCCAGTGCTGTCCCAGACATTACGTCTGAGCTCTCCCAACCCCAGTTTCTTCCTCTGTGAACTGGGGTGACAGTCCTGGAGCTGCCCTGCCTGCTTCCCTGGGCGGGGGCTGGGAGGGGTTGAACAGAGAGCGGGAAGGCGTGGGCACAAGTAAGGGATTATTACATGCAGGCCCCATTGCACCCCTTAATAAATCTAGATCTTTAATCTTTGAGGGGACAGATGGTTCCGAGCACGCGGAGCCAGGCCCTGCCTGCCCACACAGCTCTAGAGGCCTGAGGTGCGGTGAGGAGCACACCTGCCCTCACCTCCCCACCTGGCTTCAGCCTTCCCAACACGCATCCCCAGACACTGGCTGGCAGGAGGTACCTGCTGGGACAGTGGCACAGAAATGGGACTTCCAGGATGAGCTGACATCTCGCTTCACATTAGGCCCCAGGGCTCCTTGTCCCTGGTGTCTGTCTGCCTCCTGGACTCTGGGGGCCTGATCTTGGCCCCCCAGGGGGCTGGTGGCTCCCCCAGAACGGAGGTTTCCCCATGGCCTGCAGCCACCGCATGCCGGCCTTGGACTGGCACGGGCTCAGGCTCCCAAAGTCTGCTGTGACAGCCTGGCACGTCCCTTGCCCACAGGACTTTCCATTTTAATAATTAAGCGCTTATTTAATGAGTATTGCAAAAACATATAGCTAGCTCAAAAGAGGACTGGCTTAACCAAGAACATTGAAGGCTTTGGAGAGAGGAGTTTTTAAAACGGATCAATTAAAAGGAACGAGAGGGGCTGCGTATATTAATCTATTGCACATGCTCTGGGCTCTTTAGCAAAGCATTTTT